CACTGAACGTCTTCGATCTTCGCTTTCATCCTCTAGCTGTTTGGGTAAATTGAAAGAATATCACATTGAGAAGCCTGGAAGTCTCGGACAACAAGCCAAATTGGAAAGTTTGATGTAAGTCTGACTATCCAAATCCAAGCAGTTGACATAAGTTAGTGGCGAACGCGAGGGCACTTCGCTGTTGATCTCAACTACCTCGATCTCGACTGAGTGATTACGTGACTAGAGCGAATCGATAATATAGTTCGAAGCGTGGAATTGTGGGATAGCTGACTAATCCTCCTTTAGTATTAGCATAATTTACATTCAAACATATTTAAAATACACTCGATAAACCATGAAACTATATTTTACACATAAGAGAAAAAGATATTAAAAATTGCATGACCTAGATTTTGGCAAGGCATCCATCTAATTCAAAGTCCGTATCTTGAACATTACCTTTAATTGTTCTTTTAACTGTTCTCGACCCTCTAAGACAGAGCAGGGCCGACCTAAGGATGGCAAAGGAAACTTTAGAACGCATCCGAGAGACAGTGGTGGCATTGTCCTCCCCTTTCTTTGCTGCGACTAGCTCTACCAGCCTGTCATGGTATCTCTTGCACTCTTCTCCCATTCCGCCTGTTGTTGTAAAGACTAATGGTGTAAATGTTGCCTGTTCCACGTCCATCACTCTTTCCGTATACAATCTCTTCTTTTCGTTCTCGTGCTGTTTGTATATCTGCTTGAGGTCCAGGTCTCTATAGGAATCAGCGTTGGGGTAACATACCCGTACGTCAAAGAACGCTGACCTTTGCCTTTCCAAAAAGCCTCTGGCATGGATGTCTAGGCCAGCGTCAGAAGCTCTGTTAGCTCCGCTTGGCAACGACTCTCCTGTGAGCTCCTGGAGGACGAGCTCATTCTCGACATCATTGCAGACCATGCTAAGCATGTCTGCCTCAAGATCTCTTAGCTCATCATGGCGCTGTATTATGAAGCCGCCACGCCTGCAGACCATGGCATGATCAACATTAAAGACATCGCCACCTACGCAGATAGATGGCTTATCGGCGATTTTCCAGTCATATCTGAGCTTTATAGCATCTCGAAACTCGCCCTTGTTCAGAGTAGAGCCCATTTCCTCAATCGGTATGACTGTCAGCCAGTTAGATGCACCTTTTTCACAAGCAAGTTCAACAGCGCGCTGTGTCTTCAGAGTAAGAGAGTTTTTGATGTCGTTCAGTCTTTTTAGAAGCACTTCCTTTTTCTCTCTTCGCACAATTTGCTGTAATGAACTAACAACGGCATCGTCTGATGTTTCATAGACTTGTGAAACAATTTTCTCGACTAGTGGCGTTGTAGTCTTCATCGACGCTTGGTACTGTAGATCTGCATCCAGGCTTGGATTTATAATTCCAAGCCCACCCAGTCTAGCTGGCAGTGCCAAGAGGTCCCTTTCGCTCGGCTTTGTGCAATGATAGTCCGTTATCGACGGTATTAAGACATCAGCAATGGCACGTTCTAAAGGTTCTAGATCTTCTATATCTGGGAGTGTTCTAAGAAAATATGTCCATCGGTGCCGCAGGCCAAATGTAAAGGTTGCGTAGCACGCTTGTGGTTGTGACGAGGCAAATTCGGCCAACTAAACGACCTGGCTTACCCAATCGTCCACTTAGCTGCCAACTTATTTCTCCAGATATTCTCTGGAGCCCAGGGTTGCCCCCAAGTACCTTTGACATCCAAGTACCTTTGCCATCCAAGTACCTTTGACACTGATCTATCTCAGAAAATCCCAAGCGCTTCTGGTCCTATATTAAGTCATCTGCTTTTGATAGATCCTCCCCTAACTTTCTTAGGGATGGACATAAACTTGTAACTGACAGTCAGGATAGAGCCAAGATCTTGAACAAGTTTTTGAGTTCTGTGTCTAACCCGGCGAGTACGGCCTCGGTATTATCTAGTACTCAGTCCCCCTGTGGTGGTGTTGAAGATGAACTGGACTCTATTGGACTTACAGTCTCTGAGGTGAGGGAGGTTCTTTCTAGTCTTGACCCTATCAAAGCATGTGGGCCTGATATCCCAGGATCCCCCTTGAAAAATACAGCAACTGAGATAGCGCCTTCCCTATGCAAAATTTTTAACTTACCCCTGTCACATGGGGTGGTACCCGCGTTGTGGAAACGTGCAAATATCTCTTCCGTTTTCAAAAAGGATGACCCGACTTTGGCAGAGAACTATCGACCTATATCCCTGCTTTGCATAGTCTCAAAAGTGTAAGAAAGGTGCGTCCTTAACCACTGCTATCCACACTTTGCACTTCTACTGTATAATCTGCAACATGGATTCTTGCGAGGGAAATCAACAGTTACGCAATTGTTAGAGGTATATCACGACATCCTAGACATGGTTGCTGGAGGTCACGAGGTAGATGTTATACACCTCGATCTCCCTAAGGCATTCGAAAAAGTGCCTCATGACCTCTTATTGACTAAACTCCACCGCCATGGTATTTCAGGCACCGCCCCCCGATGGTTTTCGAACTATCTGTCAAATAGACAACAGCAGGTCGTTCTTGAGGGTGCCTTCTCGGATTGGTTACCTGTAACATCCGGAGTACCACAAGGCTCCATATTAGGGCCTTTGTTGTTCTTGGTTTTTGTATACGAAATGCCGTCCTACGTTCAGCATGGATCAAGTCTCGCCCTCTTTGCAGATGACAGCAAACTTTACCGGCTTATAGACTCTGTAAGTTCTCCTGCCTTGTTGCAGTTCTCGTGCATCATACGTTTCTCCTGCCTTGTTGCAGTCTGACCTAGATGGCTTACATTTATGGAGTAGCGATCATAAAATGACATTTAACACCACTAAATGTAAAGTTTTGCGTATGTCCAAGCGAAGATCTCGTAGAAAGCCCCTCAACACATATAATATCGGCGAGGAAGCATTATCGCACTCTACTGAAACCTCTGATTTGGGCGTATCGGTCTCTGGTAACTGCACATGTAATAGTCATATCAAGCAGATGTGTGCGAAGGCGAATAGGGTACTTGGTCTGGTGAAGAGGCTGTGTGGCGGGGACATTCGGGACGTCCAGACGAGAAAGTTGTTATACATGGCGCTTGTCAGGCCGTTACTAGAATATTCATCAAGTGTGTGGTCACCCTACTCAATAAAACATCGCAGACTGATAGAGAACATTCACAGGCGTGCCACTATATTCATTCTGAACTATCCTCCAAGAGAAGTCAGATGTATTAATAGATTAGACTAGCTTAACCTACCACCTCTTGATTTTCGTAGAAAAATGCATGATTTAGTTCTCCTGTTTAAGCATAAAATTGGAACTGTTACTATTAATTTTGGACGTTTCATTCAAGCTGCCACTCGGCATTCTAGTACCCGTAATTTTCATCAGGCCAACTTTGACCTACTCTCTAAGCATAATCAGGAATACTATCGTAACAGCTATTTTCCTAGGACTGTTAAGTTGTGGAACAATTTACCTAGCCAGGATCTCTTGTGGTTTAGAGTCCATCTAAACGATCTCTTTAGAGGTCTACTACAAACTTATAGCCCGCCATGATTTGTCAACTATTTTGCATATTCTCTTCTTTCTTAATTTATTATGTTAGCCTACTGAACCTAGGGGATACGTTGCAATTGGGGCTTTGCTCTGTTCGTCTCTCCTGTCAAGTCATATTATTTTATATTTCTCTTCTACTATATGCTATTTTATGTATATAATTTCATATTTATGTAATGTATATAATTATATATTTTTCTTATATTATATGCTACTTTATGTATATAATTTCTTGTGACAAATCACAATAAACTTAAATTTAAACTTAAACTGAACCTGCGTAGATGTTAATAGCAGTTCCTTCGAAAATTACTCAAGCGCGCTCCACCTTTTCAGGTTTGGTAATGAGCCAACATTTCTTAGCATTTGGATAGTATCCCAAATTAGGCCCAGCTTCAGTCAGTTGTCCCACTATTGCTTTATCGCTTCTAAAGACCCAGAGCCACTTGCGTCGTCGGCATACCAGCATTGTTTTGCATCACTAGAGATACCCAGGCGTGTAATCAAGGGTTGAAGGCTGATGGCGTAAATGGCCATCGCCAAGGAATGCCCTGGTGTAGGGATCCCCTGGTGTAGGGATCCCCTGGTGTAGGGATCCCCTGGTGTAGGAATCCCCTGATGTAGGAATCCCCTGATGTAGGAATCCCTGGTGTAGGGATCCCCTGGTGTAGGGATCCCCTGGTGTAGGAATCCCCTGGTGTAGTGCCTTCGGCGGATTCAAGCTCGCTTCCTCCTGTTATAAACAGTGTCGCCGGATGCGGGTATCTATTAATTGCGTAGGTTGCTATGGGTGGACACAGAACCTTTATATTGTGAAGCGCAGCAGCTCCATTTAATGCGTTGAAGGCATTTGAGAGACAACGTTGTGCTAAAGGTGCTTTTCTTTGAGGTGTGACCTGAAGCTAGTGGACTCAGTACCACCATGGTACTCGTTAGTAGCACCTAAACCAGTGTACGAATCTTCGGATGCTCAAGCGTGCTGGGATGTACCAGTGTACGCCGACCATAGTCACGTCAAGGCCAACAGAGTGGATGCCAGGTTCGTGGATCACAACAGGAAGCAAGTCTGGGCGGTGGAAATGAGTTGTCCCTGGTTAGATAACCGCGGAAAAAGGAAGGAAAAATATGCCCCACTGCGATGGGAGCTTAAAAAGCAATATCCTGGATATTGCGTGCAGCAGTTCAACGTAGTTATCGATGTGCTAGGGGGGTGGTCGAAGGAGCTCGAGAAAACAATGAAGAAGCTTGTGGGCGATAGAAGCAAGGAAGTCCTGAGAAAAATGTAGAAAGCGACGCTCTCAAGCTCGGTTAACATAGCGCACACCTTCAAGGCCACCATCAAGTAACAGTACGTATTTAATGTTTTAGATACTTTTAGCGAATATTGTAGAGACTTTTAGGGAATATTTCGTTGTAGTTTTTAGACATAAACATAGTTATCTGTATAGACGTACGTTTCTTAAGAAGACATAGGCTACGCTTTGCACCCTATGTTCTTTTATTTATTATAGAATCTATACGTGTACACTGCATAATAACAATAATAAATAATAATAATAATAATAATAATAATAATAATAATAACTTCATTTACCAAGGGTGACTCATTACAGTTGAGAACTGGTAAACTTGTGGCCCTCGATCATATTTGATTTGACGAATTTTTCGGTCCATCTGTTGGCGACTTAGGAAAGTACTCACGTTAATACAATCTTGGTTATACTTACACTGCTCCTGTCAGAATTTGGTTGACTAGCCTCGGCCATCATTGTTACACTGTCATTGTACGCTTTACTAGCACTGGTGAGTTTGCTTAACATCAATGTCACTGTTTGCTCTCCAAGAGCATTTGCTGCAGATGCGTTTTCGTACAGTGGCTGCAACAAATTTGTCACTTCAACCCGAGTAGAATTTGCATTTTGTGCTTTTTCAGAAGCATCATTTGTTGTCTTCAATGCGGACTCCACACGCTCAAAAATTGTCTGATTAGCTATGACAGTGCGATTGGCATGTTCAATCAAACCTTCTGCGACACTTGTCAACTCTTCTGCTACGACCGCCAGGGATTTGGACAAAACTTCGTTTTGCTCTAGTTCCAGTCTCATAGGAGTGCCCAATAAGCGGGATGCCTCCCTGACTACGTCATGAATCTGCGTCACAGTACTCGCGATCTCTTTTCTATTAACATCCACTACAGCTGCGTAATGTAGTGTGCGATTCACAGAGGTTGTCTCAGTGTGATTTAGGTTTGCACTCAAGTTGTGGTAAGCAACTGCAAATGTTAGCCACTGAGATGTTGAATTGCCCTCTACTTCTAATGCTCTGCTAATTGTTTGACTTAGCGCGCTGACCTCAGTGACCAGCTGGTGAAGTCGTTTAGCAAATGTGAGATTGTGGACTAAGGCGGGATTTTTCATAAGAGCCGAGAGATCATTCTCTATGAGTTGGATCCGGGCGCGAACAATATTCACATCCTCTTGGATAGAAGAGTAACAAGAAGAACACTCTGCAAAGTGAGATTAACGATGGAAAAAGTCAGTCGAGTTATAGCTGAAAGAAACAAAATAATTTCGAAAGCTGGAACAGAATGTAAACTTCCAAGAACTTCGCTCTTTACCTTTACAGCTGAACAAACTATTTGAAGTATTCCAGCTGTTTTCCATACACCTGTCGCAGCGCCTGCCTCCTATTCTGGCTGTTGTGTTACACACACATTGACCTGTCACTTGGTCGCATAAGGTTGTGTTTCCAAAGGCAGTTCCAATGGGGTGACATTCACAGGCTAAAGGACAATACACTGAGAATTAAAGACACCTTAACAGTAATTTTGGTGTGTCTAAACATCACATTGAGATAGTTTGTAACGCCTTGAAACATTTATTGATGCACTGGCAGGCAAGCCAACCATTTTTAACTCAATCAATTGTGATTTTCGATCGTCTTCTTGGTAAGGTAGAAGAGAGCGTAAAACACAGAAAGTGCATATGTGTAAACTAATTGAAAATTGGAAGGAATAAACTGGATTCGAACGAGTCTAGTCGAATAGGCCTTTTGAAGTTAGAGATCACGTGCTTAGATACCGCATAGCAACGCCATACTGGAGAGAAAGCACTACAGTGATCTCAGACAAAATAGAGATCACAGAGGTCTGCATTCAAACAAAGAATACAGCGGATAATAAGTTAAAGGGTATCCCAATTCGAGAAATCTTGTAAGTTTTAATCAACAGCTTCCTTGGAGTGCATCAGCGAAAAACGAATTTTGGTGTGGTTTTGCTGCTGATACACTCCGGGGAAGCTTTTGATTACTTCTTACTGGATTTCTCGAATTGGGATACCTCTTGACCTGTTATCCGCTGTATTCTTTGTTTGAATGCAGACCTCTGTGACCTCTATACTGTCTGAGATCACTGGAGTGCTTGCTCTCCAGTACGGTGTTGCTATGCGGTATCTAAGCACGTGATCTCTAGCTGCAAAAGGCCTATTCCTCGGCATTTGCGTCCAACCAGCTTGAGCTCAAAGATTAGCCGGGGATATGCACATGCAACTATCTATTGTTCAGAAAGAATTTCGCGGGAAACTACAGCAGGTAGGCAACCAACACGTGGAAAGAGTAACCTTTGGTACCTTTACAACCATTTTCTGACAGCCCCCAGTACCCAGGCTCACACTGAGTGCATTCTGGTCCCTGCACATTGTTTGTACACAGATGGCAGCGGTCGCCATAAGTTCCCACTTGACAGTTAGTGCAAGCTCCAGTCTCCCCGTCACATTCTATGCTTCGGTTATTACAGGAACACAAAACACAACGGCCACTTGGCCCACTTCCATTCACCTCACGAGTGTACCCTGAGAGGAAAGAACAAAGAGGAAACAAAAATGTTTTTCTGGTAAGTATTATAAAAAATGTAATGGAAGTTTTTATCGGCGTTTCCTAATGTAAAAGGGTCAAGGTCAGTTATTCAAGGCGATCAAGTGACTCTATAAGAAGTAAAGGCGCTGTCAGTGTCACACCACAAACTGATGAAGAGTGGATTAACTGTTGAAATGGCTGTCTATGACAAGAAAATAAAAATTATTTGCTGGATTGTAAAGTTTCACCTAAATGACTTCTAAATCTTGAATGTTTCAGCATTTGACCCCTACCTCTGTCCAATAGAAGAAACTAGAATTCGGTGGGGCGAAAAGAAGAATATAACGGGCGGGAATTAACGAAGTTTTAAATTATATTTACAGCCGTTCGAAAAGTTTCAAAAGAAGCAAAAAGGCCTTTGATACTTACCTGGCGCACACAGTTCACAGGAAAGCCCTGTGTAGTTTGTGTGACATGTAGCATTTTCTACAAATCCAACCGAGACCTCACCAGGTATACCTTGCTCACTCGCGGCAGTCTCCAAAGTGACCTCCTTAAAAGTCACGGTACTTTGTGGGAAATACGAAGCACGCAGCTTGAGAGATGTCAGCTCAGCCAAAATGGACACGAACTCCAATGATGGTACTGACTGCCCATCAATCACGTGTGTTTCATCTAGTATCACGTGATATGACGTGACGTTGGGGGAGGGAAGGGGGATAAAGTTGAGTGCCACTTCTTTAGATCCACTGGCCAGGATGACATCTCCATCTGCTGCAGCCAGATTTAGTCCATTACCAGGATCTTTGATGTCCAACTGTTGACACAAAAGTAACAAACATTTGCACACATAGAGTATCTTAATGATTTTGTGTTACATGCATAGCAACCATGATTTCTGTGAATCGCGTCATAAAACTACACCAATAACAAACTAAATTAACCACTCCTAATGTGGTTTTAGCACCCTCAGTAAAAGTAACAAGAATTCTAAATGACTGATGATGAATGCAAGGTCCTCTGGTTAGAAACTAAAGAGATTAACTTTGAATAAATTCTCATGTATCCATTTGTTGCACCATTTTCCCCAAGAAAGTATACGCACCTAAGTAGTCTTCGTAACAATGTCACAGGGTACCCAATGTCAGAGGGTTTACTTAACCTACTTTTAGAGTACATTTTACCACATTTTACCATTTTACCACTGACTAAATTAAACACTGCTTTACTTTGACCTGAATTTCACTCTTAATCGGTACCCAGTAATAAAATCACAAACTGGATATGTGACAGGTATAATTTATCCATGATATACCAAATCCATAGATGATATTCGCTATTGTTGAACATCACCCTTCCTTAACATTAAAGTTAGCCATCTAAATATGATTGTATAGCCCTTCCCATGTGAATTAAATAATCTGCATATCCTTACTTTGACATGTAACTTCTGGCCATAAGACCTGAACTGTCTTCCAAGAAATAAGAATGGTGCACTAATGTACATTACAGGTGGCACAATTACAGAGGTAACAACCAAGCCATTAGATGCCGAGTCAACAAATGGAATCACATCACCTGTCCTGTTCACCACCACCCAATCAAACTCTGAAAAAAAAGAAATGAGAATGCTTTTCTCTAAAGGAACAAAAATGACAAACATCATATGTTGTATGGTTTTAAATATTGCAGTGGGCATCTATGCTGCCATTCAGCATGAATAGCTAACAGCATTGTCAGATGCAAGAGTTTTTGAGTGGTACTGGACCCAAAAGGCTTTGAGAAGAGAGGAGTGTGTGCGTGTGTTTGTGTTAGTTTCTGAAGAGGGGAGGGGGGAGTGGAATTTCAAATTGAGTATTTCCTTGTGGGCTCTGAGCCCTGGGAGGGTATAGTCATTTCATCACCAAACATGCTTGTAAGCCCATTAGTACCTCCAGCAATTGTATCCAATCCTTTTTTCTCTGATGAGCTATCTTGTTTAATCACTGGACTAATTTCCATACTAAGCTTCTTTTTACGATGACATGACTACTACTGACCACCAATTAATTGTTTCATTATTCATTATCATGATAATACAACCATTATTACATTATACAATCATCATTTTTTCCTGGGTTGTGAATTCTGCACCTGTCACAGGTACCAAGAAATATCTTGTTGCCTTTCTATGTTACATTGATTGAATAGAATATTGATTTAGGTGAGACTTTTAAGACATTTGTGAAAGGATTGAATGTAATGGAGACTAGCTAGTAAGTGTAAAATGTAGCAGAGTCAAAGAAACAGATATTACCTGTTTTATTTTCAAATTCACTTGATATGGTTGATGCAACAAATCCACTGGCTGATTCACAACCACTTGCTCGACCATAACCAAAACAAGACAGCCATCCCTGTTTATTAGCACCAACCAAATTAAAGGAGCCATCTTTACAGCTGTCACAGTTGTGTCCTTCAACATTGGCCTTGCACTGGCACTTTCCAGTTGTCAAATGACAAGCAGCATGCAAAGACCCTGAGCTAGAACACTGACAACCTGCAAAAATACAGTGAACACTGCAGTAGCACGTCTACTGTGATACAGCTGATCCAGACTTCTGAAAAAATTACTTTAGGTGATTCGTACTTACTGCTTTCAAAACACAATTGCTTACAGCAAGCACAAAAAGGTTCAATGAGGAGGAATCATATAGCTACAAAAAGTAAACAGATCCAAGCTTGCAACTATTTTAAATCTCTTTTTTTACCAAGTTAGACACTGTCATTGACAAAAACTCTTAGCAGAAGCAACCAACTAACAAAGAGGTGAGAGAACAACCATCAGAAACAAGAATGGTTACTTTATAATTTATCGTAAATATCTATCTTTTCTCAAACTGATTCATCTGACTCCAAGCATGTAGTGTTATTGGTGTTCTAATGGTGACAAGTACAAAAATTTAGCTGTTTTCTTACGTTTACATCCTTTTGAAGAAAATCCATAGAAGCCATTAATACAGGAGTCACAGATACGTCCCACTACTCCAGGGTGACACTGACACTGGCCTCCATAAGCTGCACATTGTGTACCAATAACACTACCAACAGGATCACACCCACATGCTTACATCAGACAAAATACAACAACAAACAATCAAGATCTGAACATACTGTAAAGTTCTTGGAGTGTACCGGTAATAGCCTTTTTATAAATAGAGATAGAGAGGGTTCTATCAAAAGGGGATCTGTCCAATAATTATAGCTATCTCTACATATTTAACATTTAAGATGCCTTAAAATGCAAGGTAATAGTTCTGTTCACTGATATTTTGTGATTATTTGAAACCAATTAAGAAAATGAAATTTCAATATATTCTTTGAGCCTAACCACAATTAAAAAACTGCATGGCTATTTGATCTACCATATCATAAACAACATACCCTGTTACATGCTTGGTTCTGATACTACAGAATGAGACAAATTGCTCAAAACTAGTTCTTTTAATGTGTGCTGCCTACCGCCTTTGTTAATGAAAACATACGCCTTCCACCTTTATTGAAGTGATGGACTGGATGTCAGTGAATTGTCTCTGACACAGGAAGAGAAGAATAGAGTAGAAAAATGGATGAAAGGAAGGGAGGTCTGTCAGTGGAAGAGGAAGAGAACTTACCCAAGGTGCCATTATAGATTTCTGTACTTGTAGAGTACACCAGTTTGTAGCAGTAAGCTGGTTCTGATGCTGCTAGAGACAAAGCAGCTTGAGCACAGCTATGTAACTGATCCTGAATGTCTCTTTCTGATTCAGTATAAGCTCTGGTTGTGTTTACATCAGGAAGAAAGACCAGTGAGTCCACATGAACAGAGCAGTTCTCAAAGTCACCAGTACTGTTATATGTCAGTGAGAAGTTGTAGACTTTGCCAGTCAACAGTGTTACAGTTTGAGGTGACCTCCATGTTTTCCCTGTACCTTGTGGTAGCTTCTCCATCAAAACATCAAATTCAGTACTGATATTTTGGTTAGTACTTGTGATGCCCAGGACAAGCTTTGCAGAAAAATGAAATTTGCAACTTTGGGTGATACTATAACGAAGAACTGCATAGAACTGGTGGCTGGCTGAGACTTTGGCATTATCAATATGGGCATATTGGCCAGTATAAAGAATAGCAAAACCATGCCCGCTGAAGTCTACTCCATGACCCTCAGATAGGGTCAAAGCTGTAAAGGTACCACGCATTTCTTCTACTTCAAAATGGATGAAGTCCAAGGTGGGGTAAAAATGTCCCTGCTGGGATCTTTCACATTCACTTCCTTCTACGCCAGGACGGCAAGAACAAGATCCTAACAAATCAAATACAGGAGAAAATTTGAGTAAAAAAATAAAATAAAATCATTTTGCCAGTGGGACTTAAGATTCTGTCTTATATTGACACAAGATATGCCAACAAGAAGGTTCCTTCCCTGTATGTCTTATGCATCCATCCCAGTTGGGATAAGGTTGAACTTTAGACAGGGAGCATTCTCCTGCCCTTCAAGGTGGAGGTTTGACATGCAGTAAATCATTGCAAACTTAAAACATGTAGCAATTACAGAAAGGGACAGCTATGACACAATACGTTCTCTGTGAAGCTCTCTTCTAGGGAAGAAGGTATTTATGAGGATTACAGAGAAACAAAAAGTTATGAACTTGAGATACAAATTTCTTAACCAAATTTATTCTCAAATATCACTTCAAGGAATTAATTTTTTTTGGTTATTTCTATCATTTGACAGACTACCCACATTGCAATAAATACCAATGTGTCACACTAATTAACTCACTGTATAAAAGATAGGAACTTGACAGTTACCAACCTGACAATTTGTTGCATTGAGGGAATGCCCCACCTAAATCACAGGGACACCTCAGACAATCTGAATCCTTAGTAAGTGGAAACAAGTAAAAGCCATCTTTACATTCCACACAGTACCTGCCCTGTACTGATTCCTTACATGGACAGTCCCCAGTGTACTGATCACACTGTATAGTATTGTTAAATGTTCCCAAGATGTTACATCCACAGACTGAAGCAAAAATGTGAAGCGGGAATAATTATGAAACTTGAAAACCAAGCCAATTGTTTTAAATAATTATACTTCCTCAAAGAGAAGAATGTCAGAGTTAAAACACTTAAACTTGAATTTAAAAAGCAACAGTACTTTAAAGAATAATAAATTAATTGACAAAAAATTTCAAGAACTGTGATTTTTTAAGCACACAATTGAAGCTAACCTTTACATTCAGCAGCCGGATTCCCTCTGTAACCCCAGTATCCTGGAATACACTGATCACATTGTCGTCCAAACACATTCTCCTTACATTGGCACTGTCCAATCTCCTGTGTTGGTGTAGCCTCCGGCAGGCATGTACCATTATTTGTAATACCTTCTGGGAAACAGTCACAGGCTGCATAAAAAAACAAACAAACAAACAAACATCTGACAGTTACTCTAGATTAAACCGGTGCTTTTTTCTAAAATGAACAAGCCTATCAGTGGAAACACTTTCAGGTAACACATTAATAAAAATATTTTAACATGCTTGTAGGCTAAATAACTTTAAATAAATTACAAGTTAAGAAATTCCTGTTATTAAAATCAATTTGCCAGATTATCTTACCAATGCATGTGTTCAGGTCTTGTAAAGGCACATTTGCATTCCTGTAGTACTTTGGTACACATGTTTCACAATGTGGTCCTTTAGTATTGTGTTGGCAACTGGTACAAACACCATAACCCAGAGTATCATTGTATACACAGGACAATCCATGGTTATTACATGCACATTCTAAATCAAACCAAATGAAATACAGTTAATTAAATAAATTCATTACTAGTATTGAACATTTTCATTTTTTTAGATCTTCCATGGTAAGGGAAGTGAAAATATGTTCTGAATATTAAAGTTAATTGGAAATCACCTTGACATTCATTTGCATGACTTGCATTTGCTGGCATCCATGGACGATTGTTGAACATTGATTTGCACATTTCACAATCCTGTCCCATTGTTTTATGTTCACATTCACATGTCTCTTTCATACGTGGTCCTGTACAATATTGTGCATGCCCATTACAGTCACACCGTCCTGTTATTACAATATCTGAGATAGCATAATAATACTTGTTAAGTATTTCCTCGGTCTGAAATAGTTTTTCAAGGCCATCTGTGTAAGGATATTCGAGTCTAACTCTCACATTTGTTGCTAACATGTAATTCTGGATCTCTTCATCAAAGTAACTACAACTGCCATCATAGCGTTTATCATATCTGTACTCCACCTTTCCATACCTTGGTGGGAACTGCCCACTGTAATCCTCAGTGCAGGTTGCTTCAAATGGATTGTTCTTAGGAACAGGCTCCATTCCAGGCATTTTGTAATACATGGAACACTTAAAAGCAAAGTACTGTAAAACTTTCCATGTTTTGCCAAAGTCCTCTGACTTCTCCAGAAACATGGCCATTGGTCTCTCATTGTAAAATCTCACTGTGATACCACCGGATATGTGGAACCTTCTGCCAAAAGACAGTGTTATGTTTACTCTCATAGGGTTAAACTGGTTGGACATTCCAAGCTGGTTTGTTTCCCACCATGTTTGAGATTGCCACCAAGTTACATCCTCAAGAGAATATGGAGTATCAAATTCCTTGTCAACCATGTATATTGGAGAGTGCTTTTTATCTGTTTTACTTGCATCGCACTCAAAGCATTTAAGCCCAGGACCAAGTTCACAAAAACCACCAGCTGGGTTACCACAAGTATTTGTTGATGAAATATTCCTCTTGTAAGCCATATTGACTGGGCTTGCCATGCAAGGACGAGGATTTCTTTCAGAATCATAGCATCCATTAAACTTACAAGTTGTGGCAACTGTTGATGTGTTGATGAGATACAAGAAAAAATGGATAAGCGCCTGATACAACAGTATATAAATTTTCATCTTGAAATAATTATTTCTCCTCAGCCCATGCAAAAAAAAAAAAAAGCTAAATGGTCATCTCCATTAATATAAATATCTTAGGTAAATGGATGGCAGTCGAGGAAATTACTGCTGGATCTAGATGATACTGCTGTAGAGCGTATTGCCAACAGTTTGTGGTGGGTAACACTGACATGACAGGGCCTAAGTGACGGAATTCTCCAGTATAATATTCCATTTATTTCAAGTCGTACTGATTATTTATTAAAGAAAAGTAAACATTATTTTTTGTTGTCATTTATAGCTACAGTTCAGAGCTTGGAATGCTCAACAAAGTAATAGTGGTTGAGCTCCAAGTACAATGATGGAAAACAATGGCTCTTCTGCTCAGTAATTTAAGAGTTTTAAGGTTCAAATGCAGAAAGCTGATCCTAAAATAGTTAGTAGAATTTACTAGAAAGTATTGTGATCTATGGAAAACATTTACCTTTATTTGCATGGCGTACAGCTTGACGCAGCTGTTGTGTACAACAGGTACTTGGAGCTCAGCCAGCAAATACAACTTGCCTCGCTCAATTTTGTCACCGGTGTTCAACATATTATTTCGCTCAAGAAATATTAATATTCAGCTAAGTTATTTCCTCAGATTATTTTCCATAACTTAACCTTGCAAAGAGGAATGTCTTCTTTTGGTTTCCTTACAGGGCCAAAGCATTCAGTTAAATTTTCCGCCATTTTCATCGGAGACATTACGGTGACGTTTTTGTGTAGTTGTACATAAAGTTGTAAGCAACCGCTTTCCACATCTCTTCAAAATGTCCAAAATGGCGAACGTTCTTCTCTGTACGAGGACATGTCGTAGACATCTTTTAGGAAGACCAGTTTCTCTGTAAGTGTTAATATGATAACACGAAAGATTGATATATATATTAAAATTAATGTAAATTTTGCTCATTCTACAGACATCCTTCTTATTTTTACACATTTAATTGAAAATTATATCGTGCATTGTACTCATTTTTGCACCGTTTAATGGAAATGATTGTATGACCCCTAACATTGTGTTCTCTTTAATTTAAAATAGAATTACAAAACGCCTAAAGCAACACAGTATAGAAAAAGAACCAATGCAGTCAACAGTTACTTTTATAACAGACTTCAAAGACAAAGAAAGTCTGATCGACTCGCCGCCGTACGTTATCTCATACAGCACTCGTGGTTTTACTATAAAGGATATCAAAGTGTTCGGCTCCGTTGTAATCTTTCCCTCGGCATTTTACCACTGGCGGGTAAGTTAAATGTGACCTCTGACATGTGTCAGTGTATACTGGTGGAAGTCAGTGCTGTGGTCTGAGGTCTTTTGCTGTGGCATATTATCACAACCCAGATGTACTACCCAAAAAATGTCTACGAGAGTGGGACTCGTGATCCATAGCAGGGTATTTGGGTAGTATCCGTGAAAGATTTGGTGTTGCCTTTCCATGTACCTTCTGCTTTCTGTTAAATCATTGAGTGAAAATAATATAATGGCTGTGGGAAGGCTAAATTTTGTTAACAATGTATAAAAAAACAAGTTGTTTTCAGTTGATAACATATAACATGTGTTTGTGGTAGAGAGAGGAATAGTCCTTTTTACAGTTGTCGGTTCGGTGGCCAAGCCTTTGAACAGGAGTGAGGCTAAGGGTAACCTTGTTATGATAGAGATGTTGCTGCTTGTCAAATGCAAATTACTTTGTTATCATGCTAACTAGATACAGGTCTCTATCACAACTGGGTCACCCTTAGCCTCACTCCTGTTCAGGCTTGACTGCCAAGCCCACAACTGTGAAAGAGACTATTAGCTTTTGACCTCCAAAGAATGAAGGGCCAAATGATTTTATCAAATGATTTTAAAATCATTTGAAGGGCCAAATGATTTTAAAACAGAGTTTAAATTTGGTCCTCTTTAAGCAGTTCTCATCAAGTCTCCAGTGGCATTCTTTTTAATCAGTAATTATTGTTAAGGGAGAAATACTGATGCTTGCTCCTCCATCCTCTGGGTGGCCATGTGTCTAGTGGTCACTGCTGAATTATCTTGGACAGTATTCAGGCACCATAAGAAAACAATAACTTCATTGATAATTTCAAATGACACTCCAGAGGCTTGGCATGGATAATTCCTGAATTGAACTCTATCATAACTAAATTAATTTTCCAATAGAAAAGATTACAGTGAATACTTTTGTGGGCTTCATTTCTCTTTTGATAATAATTTAAAACTGCATTCTTTTGTGATGATAAAAAATAAGTACTGCACTTTTTTTTTTTTTTTTCATGTCAAAGATTAAAAAACCAGAAGATATAACAGCAGAGAGTCTGACTCTTTTTACAGTAATGGAACCCCCAGTAGGTTTGTATGTTATCTTGGTACTGTATTTATCAAAATTTTCTTTGTGTAAACACATGAACTCAAACACATTCAACAAAGCTGCAAATCCCTTTGATTTTCAAATCATTATCTTTTTTTATCTGAAGTAGGTAATTTTTTGCAATCTTCAAACTTTGATATTTGGCCAAACTTGATAGGTTTTTTAGTGCTCATTGGCTGTGAAGATATTTCCATACCATTTTGGACTGTACCCTCTCTGAGCTTCCAGTTATTATCACATATCTTACGTTGTTTAACTGAAACCAAAAGGAATTTCCTGTTTGCATATTATGATTGGTTTAAGTAAATTTTTCTCTAAACTCCAGTGTATTCTTGTAGAAATTGTGGTTGTAGGAACTGGAGAAAAGATTTTACGCCTACCACCAGAGATAAACAATTATATGAAGAAACACAATATTCTTTTGGAAGTCCAGGATACAGTAAGTTATTTTGTCCATGCTGCTGGTCTCCAAACAAACAATATCTTTCTCACAAGATAACAATTTAGCTGTTTATCTGCCGCTGTTTTAATTTTTTTATTTCAGTTCCTTTCTTTTTTTTATAGAACATAGATTACATAATGTACCCATTAGAGAGGAGCCTTGGTAAAAACACATCTTTCTCGAAATCTACTTGAAATACAGGATTGCTAAGTTTGCTTTTCTTGGCAAACAGTCAGTCAACTCTCTCTTACATGTCCTTTAGCGAAGACTAAGATCTCCTTAATATGGATTCTGGGAGTTTTTTTCCTGCCACTCAATCTCCTCAGTCTGTCATTTTGTTAGACTTACGGTGATATGTAACCCCAATGGAGATCTCAGCCTGGTTTTCAAAAGTGATGTAAGCACCAATGTAAGCACCAATGTAAGCATAACAGCTCCTATTTCACTGTGAAAATGGCCTAAGCACAAGCACAAATACAAGGAAAAATTCTAATCTTTGTGCTTGTGCTTGCATTGAAGCAGTTTTTGTGGTGAAATAAGAGCTGTTATCTTTCCATGTATGCTTGCACTTGTGCTTGTATTACTAGTTAAAACCACACTTTAATTAATAGAATAATTTCAATATATCAACAAAGTTGAAATGGTAAATTGGCCACCGTTACGATTATAAAAGCTGACGTTTCGATCGTTAGCCCTTCGTCGGAGCGAATAGAGGAATTGTGGATTGTGTGTGCTTTTGAAGGCAGGAAATGTAGCTACGTGATTGGTGGGAACATGGCAACGAGAAAAACACTAATAATTAATTAACGGAGACAGTTGATTCTTATGTCATTTATCTCTAGCCTAATGCAACTGCAACATTCAACTTTCTCTTGGAAGAACAACGGCTGGTTGGAGCAGCGTTCATCCCACCTAAAATATTGAAGGAAGATTGATTGTTTTATTTCTTTCACAATCATGTGAAATAAGTCACTGAAAATGACTGTGCAACACCTGGTAACAAACAGTCACACAGAGCCTTCTAAAGGACCAGAATGATGTAGTCACTAAAACATGGATGTCACATGACAAAATTTGAGAGAGCCTAGCTGCATACAGTGAGATAACTACAGTTGTTATGATAGCATTGTGAAGGGTTAGCTGTAACAATGAACACCAAGACCTCCAAGAATGTACATCTAACTCTCTCCTGTGCTTCTTTGATTCTACCTTGCTGGCCTGGTATTTCAGCAGACAAAATCATGAACATGCTAATTTGGTATATCAACTAAGATGAAATTGTAAATTGGCCACCGTAAAGAGTTAAAAAGCTGATGTTTTGATCGTTAGCCCTTCACCAGAGCAAAGGGCCCTTCGCTGTGATGAAGGGCTAATGCTCGAAATGTCAGCTTTTTAACTCTTTATGGTGGCCAATTTGCAATTTCAACTTAGTTGATATACCAAATTACCTTTTTACCCCCACCAACGCAGCACCACAGTTCTTTAGAAACTTACCCCCTAAAATCATGAACAGGTTGTCAAGCATAACCAAGGTCCATTCGGGAAAAAACTGTGCCTTAAGATCTTATGGACTGACTTAGACCTCCAACTAACTGTTTAATTTTTTTTCTGCTTGTTTGCTTTTTTCCCCTTTGCCACAAAAGGCATGGAAAAATTATGATGATTGGTCCTTTTCCTTGAAAGCTGAACCTATTATGAGTGCCAGTCTGATTAAAGGATTTAAGATTTTGGCCGCTCATTGAGATGCTTCAGAAAAAAATAAAGTTTAATATTTCACATACTGCACCTGTGTGTGGGTGTGTGTGTGTTTTTCCTTCTTCCTAGTATGTAAGATTATTTCCTTAAAACCATTTACCAGAAATGAACATAAAAGATCCTAAACTTGTGTGTGACCAATCTTAAATTTCAGCATTTTTTGTCAACACAAATTTATCAGGTTGAAAAATTAACAGACACACCTTAATGTAAATGTCCATTTGCCAGGAATTGATTTTTTGTGGAAAATGACCATGGCTCAAACAAACTTTCTTTTTTTTTTTCTTCTTGTAAAAAAAAAACCATAATTTTGAGGAATTGTTCCAATAAATACTATGCCTTGAACATTAAAATATCATTTTAATGTAAGTTAATGTTTTGGTAGCTGAGAATGGAGAATTTTTGCAATTTGGAGGCTTGGTGTTAGATTTCTACTAGATTAAAAGCCAAACCCATAACAGGCATTTGCCTTTTTTTTTTCTCCAACATTTTCAGCTGAAAGAACAACAGTAAACAATTCAGATTTGGTTTAGTAAAGTTAAATGTAAATTTTCATCATTTGAGATTGTGATAGTATTAAACCAGAATTATATGAAAGGCTTACTTCTGCTTATATTGTACTCATGCAAACATTTGATAAAAAAAAATTGATTTATTGGAAGAGATATCTAGGAGTTTTTTATATTCCCCTCATGCTTGCTGGACATGAAATACCTGTATAGTCAGCACCCTCTAGTCTGTAAAGTGTCTTCTATTTCATATCTGACAACTTGCACTCGTTGAAGAATTATATGATGCAAAGCTGTAAGATAGTCTCATAAATTTTGCATTCAAGTTAAAAAATACATCAACAGTCATATAGTTTGTATGGGCTTCCCCTGAGGAAACAAAGAAAAAAGGCTTAAATAGGTCGGGAATGTTTAGGGTAAAATTAAAATGACCTAAGTTCACATCTTTAGATGCTTGTGATATCTGAAACTTTTTCGAGGGTAACCCGAAAACACTGACCCCCAGTCCATGGACCCCCTACGGACCCCACTACGGACCTGTCTAGGACCCCCCTTTACGGACCCCCCCATGAAAAGACAATTATGACAACTTGTCGAGATTTGAGTTACCGTTGTCTTTTTGTTCGCGGTGGCAAAATTTTGAATGTTAATATTCCAAATATTATCGTTGCAATGAAAGGAGGAAAAAAGCCGACTAGAAAGTAAAATAAAAAAGGAAGGAAAAGACCGATAACTTAGCTAACTTGTGTATGTATATCGTTCTGCACTCGCTGCCACCGATTGCCTCCGCCATTTTGTTAGACTCAAACCCCCGCGTGTTCATTGACTCGACCTAGGCTTCACACAATAGTGGTCCTTCGACAAAGAAAGATGTCCATGTTTATTAGTAATTAGAGATCGCGATATTTGACAGTTATGTGTTTAGTTGCCAAATCTTTCAGCAGGGCGACTTTTATTCAATGATTGATAGACAAGGGAAAATACCGCGCAGCTTTCGAAAAGCCAGGTCACCTTCAGACTCACTCCTGTTCAAAGGCCTGGCAACTACCAGTCAAACGTTCGCCACCGCCAACAAAAAAACAAAGGTAAGTCAAATCTCTATACGGTTGTCTCTTTTTATGGAGGGTCCGTTGAGGGCCCGTGGAACTGTCCGTACAGGGGTCCGTGGACTAGGGGTCAGTGTTTTCGGGTTACCCCTTTTCCGTAATCAAAGTTTAATGTCTTTTACGTGGGGCATGGTTACCCATATTTCCCTAGCCTGAGGTTCATGTATGAAACGCAAGACAACAACCCACCCATCCCACCCCAGGGGAGGACATCCATCACACAGTAATCTCGTGCGTGGGAAATTGACGAATCCTACCCCTAACCCTGCAGGAGACGGGACCTTCATTTATTCGTCCCTATTCGAAAAGACTAGAATATCTAAACCAATTCTTGACCTTGAGTGTTGGTCCGGCCGGGGCTCGAACCCTCGACCTCCCACACATCAGTCCAGCGCTCTATCCATTGAGCAAACTGGGAGGCGGTTGGTGATGCTTTTGTAAATGTTTCATTGGCTAAGATTCCGACTCTTTATTATCCATTCGAACATTCAGTCTAGAAAAGCAAACAATGAATGTGCCACGGAAAAGGATATACAGAATGTGAAATTTCAATCGTGTTACCCAGTTCCCAAATGCTTGTTGAAAGCGTATTGTTACGAGGATCGAATTATTTTTACTGAATCTGTCACGCAATCCCAGACTTTTCTAGAATTATCTATAATCTGAAATATTCCAGAAACTTCTTTCATGTGACTCAGCAGTTTCCAAAAATAGTACAACTTGTAATACGCTATAAATAGTAATAGAACATTCTAGATAACTAAAGTAAATGTATAAAAGCTGGCTTGTGAGAAGTACAAAAANGAAAGAGAAGAAAAAGACGATAGCCGAGAAGGGAAGAAGATAAAGAATACAGAGTTCACTATGAAGTCCTCCGGAAGAATTTGTGTACACGGAAAGAAAGCCATGAATCAAGAAAGCCAAGCGCTGTGGTCTTCAGTCGGCGGATGTTGGAATTGGAAGTTGATCAAGACGACGAACACTTACACGACATGAAGGATTGTGAGCCTGCTTTATGAACTGCTTAACTTAATCTTTAACCTAAGTAAATTAGACAATGTAAAACTAATTAAATAATACTTAAAATGGGTAACTGCTTGTTGTTACATTTTTGTTGCGTGCCATATATCGTACTCGGGAGTCTATTTTCATATATGCTTTGTTAGCGGACATTTGTTGGTCATTCGTGCACGTAACAGTATATTCTTATGTCAAGAAAAATAAGGAAAGTAAGGGAGAGCTTATTGGCCTGGTTCCTAGCCGAGAATCAGGATGTCATGCTGAATAATTCACTAAAGAAGGAAGAAAAATATTTGTCTTAAAAAGAATTAAAATCAGTCTCTATAGATCGAAAATAAAGGAACAACATTCTTTCAAGACTAGATTTATTTGTTTCAGCGATATTCTCAGCTTGTATCCAGCATATTTTTTGTGAGGAAATTTTTCCAATTTTTCGCATTTTTCTGAAGAGGCCAAGTTTATTATAACTAGTTTACAAGCCCACTTCCTGACGTGGTTTGTGGTTTTCAGCAATTTGTTAATGATTGATCGGAAAACAAATACTGAAGGAATATTTATTTCTACTACAGATGTACACAGTAGTGGTGTAACATCGTTCTCGACCTGAGCTAAGTTATTTTGGATCAAGTGGTGTAGTTAACCGTGAAAAAGTCGGACAAAAAAAGTATTAGCTCAATTTTTTCATATCGTGCTTGTTCCCAATTTCGAGATTAACAAAGGCCGAGTATTATCGAACGCGTACCTGGGTGTAAAGGAAAAGGTGGGGACATATTTCTCACTTGACAGTAGAACTTTTGAACTCAGAGGAAAGCCTCACATTTCGTTGGCAAGCCACTGATTGGTTATTCTCGAATTACTTTTGAGATAGCCAATCAGAGCCCGGGATTTTCTTCCCGCTGAAGAATGTTCACAAAAGTTTGCGATCAAGGTTTCGCCTTCGTCTGGCATGTGGGTTGTCTCAAATTTCATAAAAATCCCCTCCACAGCGTTACCGAAGATTGCGGGCCTAATAAAAGAGGGATCATGGAGATATACCGTTGTTCCCGTTTGAAGAAACATTTGAGAAGTTTTTCATATTTGGCGAGATTTCTAGCTCTGTTATTGTTTCTTCGAGAGGCTGATGGACAGTCTCCGTGCTACAACGAGATCACGAAAGCTCCCCTCAGATGCATGCCGTCTTTTGGAAACGCTGCCTTCAATAAAGCAGTTCAATCCAACAACACTTGTGGAACTCCTCCGAGCGAATTTTGCGTTCAAACTGGTGTCACTTCGCCCACCAAGCAATGCGAAACTTGCGATGCAAAGCAGGATCAGTATAGCCATCCCGCAGTTTACATCACTGATATTAAAAACGATCAAAATAGAACGTGGTGGCAGTCTGAGACGCTTGAAACCTCGAACAAACCCGTTTCCATCACTCTCGATCTTGGAAAGACCTACGATGTATCTTATATCAGGATTCGTTTTAGATCGCCGAGGCCGGAGTCGATGGCAATTTACAAGAAAACTAGCACTGATCCAAACGCTCCGTGGATTCCGTATCAATACATGTCAGCTTCGTGCGAGAAAACATACAAGGTGAAAACGAATGATATTGTGAGAACAAACCAACAAGTGTTGTGCACAAATGAATTCAGCAGTATTTCTCCTCTAACTGGAGGGAATGTGGCTTTTACAACGCTGCAAGGTCGACCGGATAACCTCAACTTTGATAACAGCCCCGAATTGCAAGACTGGGTAACGGCCAGTGCGATTCGAATCGATTTAAATCGAATGAATACATTTGGAGATGAGATGTTTGGTGATACTACCGTGTTAAGGAGCTATTACTTTGCCATCATTGATTTGACTGTCGGGGGAAGATGCAAATGTAACGGGCACGCTGCAAGTTGTGGGAAGAAACAATTGCCTTCGGGAGATCTTCAGTTGATGTGCATATGTGACCACAACACCACAGGAGTGGACTGTGAAGAATGCCATCCGCTTTACAACAATCGGCCATGGGCCAGGGCTACCGAGAGCAGTGCCAATGAATGCATTAGTAAGTAGAGTCATTTTCAATTCGATCTGTTAATCTTTCTGATATTAATACGAGTCAGTGATTTTGTCAAACAGCAACTCGTCTATAACAAATACCACTGCGTCTTTAGGTTTACGTGCAATGCCTGGAAGCGTCACAATGAATCTAATTTCTCGTTCGATCCAGAAATTATTTGCTGTTGACCTAAGACACCCCAACAGCTTGACGATATCTCTCACCGGAAGTCTACAATAATTCAGTTACTGGCTTTTTTGTAACGAAGTGGATAGCCAACAAAGGTCCATTTATTGGGGTTGAACATTTTCTTTTCTCTAGTTTACTTTCCAAGAACTAGTAAGAGAAGACATCTATTTCTTGATGAATTATATGTGATTCAATAATAACAATTTGTGAAGTGCAAATTACATGCTAAGGCAATCAAAACTATTTTACTCTGTAAATAGTAAATTGCTTGTAATTCGAATCTCGCTTGACACCGTGACGAATGGATGTCCCCATAGACTATTCCGATGCCTTGGAAATGCAGCGTCTGGCTTATCTTTTCAAGGACTAATCTGCTTTAGATGTCTGCTGTTAACACCGCGGATAATCCCAATCCCTTATGAGTAATACCACTGCAATACTTATGCAATAGACACTGTGATTTCTATTTCGCGTAATTTACAGACATGAGGAGAATGGAGTGTACGATTAGATTCGTTTCAAGAGCGGTTGAAAGATCAAAGCTCTTGTGTTGATAGATTTAGCAGCCGGTGGCCTAGTGGTGGATTAAAAGAGGCTGCTGATAATGATTAGATGGCTGCTGTAAATTCTTACAGTCGTCTTTTCTTGTAGATGTAAGGTGTTTTGAGGTTTGAGGTAAAGGGTACTCATGATTTTGAACTAGAATTTTTCTCTTGGTGATTAATTTTCATCAGCTGTTAGATTAACCTGAGAAACACGTTTCCCTTTTTGTACAGAGAAAAATTATTGGAATTAACAGTAATAGCAATATAAATTTTACGAGTAAGTTTTGATTGCCTTAGCATGTAATTTGCACTTCACAAATTGTTATTATTGAATCAGATATGATTCATTTTAGGAGCAATATAAATTTTACGAGTAAGTAAAAAAAAAAAGAATGTTTATTTCAGGGAAAACATCAGGAAAAGGGCAGGTGTATCACGAATAGTGTTCAAGATTTTAAAGTGCTTTTTGAATTAAATCTTCATCACCTAATGGAAACCAGTTTGTGGTTTCTTGATTAGATTACCTTATTTCATAAGATGTTTTTAAAAACCAGATTAACATCCTGTGGGACAAAATTTTTCTTTGCCCCCTTGGGTGTGGACTATAAGAGACACCCAGAAAATACAAAGAAGTTTTAGTAAAATTACATCTCTTCCTTATTTTGTGAATATTATGAAAATAAGGTCTAATCACTAATGCCTGAAAGAGTAACTTTATACTTCTGGTGAAATTTGAATTATTAGGAAGGTGCAGGATAAATATTTGAAAATTTTTTTTTGCCAAAGCATTCAAGATGTACATCCCAAAATTTAGGAGGTTTCAGACTTAAATGGTTGGTGATGAAACAAATAAATTGATAGTTCAAGTTTGGTGGTTATACCCACAACAGATTTGTGTGTTTTCATAGGGAGAAACCAGTGGGGTCTAGTATTTTGACTATCTTGTTTCAAAATAAGTCTCACGTGTCTTAAGGAAATTTTAGTTTAAAGGCCCATTTCCATCCAAGATCCTTTGCAGTCGTTTGTTTTTGTTTTGGAATCGTGCTATTGTTAAATGGCGAACTCTGATAGTCATTCACAAACACTATTAAAAAGAAAAACAAAGATTTGGTGAAGAACACAGTAAACAAATTTGCAGCTAAATATTTGAGACTGAAAAATCATAAATCGAGTCTGTGTATAAAACTTGTACAAAGCTTACTTGATGTTGAAGGAAATTGTTCAGCTTCAACACTAAATAAAATATCAACAAATAACCAATATGGGCCAAAACTGATTTGCTTAACGCATTTCAATTATAGAATAATGACTTGAACAAACGAGATCGCTTACATACATATCTCAGGATCTCAAGTAAAAATCAGTCAAATGATTATTCTCACCTCGAAAAAATCTCCCCAGAGTCTCTAGTTCCATTGTAGGAACAATGCAATAACTTTTCTGCAAAAGCACTGTCTGTAGTGTTACAGAAACCCATGGTTGTTTTCCTTGCCCTCCATAAATCATACACAGACTCTCGAAGTTGAATAACCTTTGCTGAGCCAGGAAGACTCGGCCTTCCTCTAGACCGCTTCTTTGGCAGCATCAACTTTTCAAATGACGTTTTTCACCGTCGTACATACAAGAATTAAAAACTATTTACTGATATGGATACTACAATAGTTTGTTGTTCGCACATGATTCAAGATGGAACTTTGAAATCCCTAATTAGTAAAATGGAAGAAGATATCAAAGCGATTCCGCAACTACGAGGAAAATAGCGTATTTTTCATATATGAAAAATGATCCGGGCGCGCAAGGCATCTCGGTTGGAAATGGGCCTTTTAAAGCCATTGAAGTTTACTTGCAGGGCTATTTTAAAATATAAATAGACTAGGGACTGTCAGTAATATTTATTCAGTGTTGATAAATACTACCTCTCTTTCTGTTTCTCCAGAGTGTGATTGTAATGATTTGGCTGACAGCTGTGTTTATGATGAAATTCTTGGCTATGGACGGTGTGAAAACTGCAAGAGAAATACTGCTGGCCCTAAATGTGAACGCTGCCGTGACAATTTTTTCCGCCTGACACCATCTGATGACTGTCAGGCATGTAACTGTGATCCTGTGGGCTCAGCTTCATTACAGTGTGATACAAAAGGAAAGTGTACCTGTAAGCCAGGAGTAACAGGCATCAAGTGTGATAAATGCCAGGCAAACTTTTTTGGGTTTTCACAGACTGGTTGTAGGTAAGTCTTCATAGTAATTGAAGTTTTACTCGTTAGCTATCACTCCTACTTATCTTTGCTAACTTAATACAAATCTTTCATGAAAAAAAATTGTTGGTATCTTTTAAAAACTACTGATGGATACATACACCTTATTTGATGGTTTAACATAATACACATGGATATTTTGGGAGCTGCATAGTATTTTTCCGCACCCCATCTGGCCAAGGAGATACACAAACAATGAGCAAAATGTGTGCCCGCTTCAGTGTTCGTGATGGTCAAAAAAGAGATTGTTGTGGGCTTTGAAGTTGGATACTGAAAAAATCGTGTTTTAAAAACTAAAAAAGAAATTAAAGATCAGGAAAATTGTTTCTGTCTGTCTTTTTAGCCTGTTTTACTATGAATTACTGTACAGTAGCATATGAGCCAGTGAGCCAAACTTTAAGCTGATTCTTACAAAATTGAATTTTGACTTGAGAAGTAAGGCATGTGTGCTCATTTTCCATTTACAGGTGTAGATGCATTTTTGATTTAACACATACTTTTTAAGAAACACTCTTATACTGCTGATCTAAACTCATTCCTCTAATATGCCTTTTTTTACAATTTATGAGGTACCTTTAATGGGTTGGGAAACTCATCAGAAACCTTGAATATTAAAATTGTCATAAAGAGTAATTACTAGCCAAAGGGTTTTTCTGCAGACAACATGTTAGAACTGTCCCCTCAGCAGAGTTTGTCAGGAGTTTTTTTATTCAGAGTTTTTTTATTCAGATTTGGTAGTGACTATTTCCCCAGAGGCTGGATGATTGAGGGGTGCCAGAAACCAAACCCAATTCTTGTGATGGATATGGACTTTGAAGACATGACATCTGCAACCCCATACTTTTCACTGAATTTTATTCACTTAGAAAAAGCTATTTACCGTAACTCTCTTTAAAGGGCTTGCCAGTGTGACCTTGAAGGAACAGATCCAAGCAACACGCAATGTAATGAAAAAGGAGAATGTTCTTGCAAAAGGAATGTGATTGGTGCCAAGTGCAACAAATGTAGGACTGGATACTTTGGATTGGAGAGTTCCAACCCACATGGCTGTAGACAGTGCTTTTGCTATGGACACACAAATGTATGCGATAAAGCTGAAGGTTATGTTGGTCGAAACATTTCAAATGACTTCACCAGAGGTTTGAATGGTTGGACTGTCATCAATGAACAAGGTACCAATGTTTGTGACTGGGGAGCTTGCAGAGTACTGTTCTAGTTCCCAGGTCTAATGTATAGTATTCTCAAGAGCCTGAAAAACATCTGTTTAATGTTAAGTCAGTATTTTCTTGTGTTCCTGAGTGCCACCAGAAGGGTTAAAAATCTTTTTGCTTGAGTTAAAAAGAGTAATTTTTTTGGTTTCCCTTTTGCCTTTGAGGAGAAGGCTGCATTATTCTATTGGTGAATATTTTGTAATAGAGCCTCAATTGTTTCATTTTTGACAGGTAGCGATGTTACTGACCAATATGCAGTTCCCCATGTGGGAGAGGGTCATATCAGTGTTACAGCAATAGGAAATGAGGTCCTTTATGTGTCAGCACCAGCAATGTACCTTGGAAACCTTCGTAGTAGTTATGGCCAGCTCTTTGGTTTCTCGTTTCGTGTAGCAGCTGTAGAGGGGGTTCAGGTGGAACCAAGCGATATCATTTTGGAGAGTGAGGATGGAACTCAAGTATCTGTGAGGCTTAATGCACAGAACAACCCAATTCCTAACACTGATTTTCAAAATTACGTTTTTCGTCTGCATGAAGATCCTTCTCTTGGTTGGCAGCCAATGCTTAGGGGGTTTGACTTTCAAAAATTGTTGACTAATTTGAAAGCTATCAAAATTCGCATGAATTATGGCCCCCAAGGAACCGGCTTGCTTGACAATGTTTTCTTGGAATCAGCATTGTATGATCCAAGGAGTGCCCCTGAATTGCAGGTGCCTTGGGTTGAAAATTGCACTTGCCCAGCTCCTTACACAGGTAAAAACTGTGAACAATGTAGTGTGGGCTACACCAGGCAAAGAGGATCAGACAATAGATATGGCCAGTAAGTTTTGTTTAGTAATGTTGTCGGCTCTAAATGTGCTTGTTGGTGTCATGCATTCTTTTTTCTAAATTAGACAGTGTTTTGTTTTGTTTTCTACAAAGTTAGCCTTTTTGGATGTAGGCAAAGCTACTGTATCTTATCACTTCAACTCCCTGAAGTGATTAACATGTGACTTCTCCTCATGGTATCCATATATTATCCAGCGTACATATTATGAGAATACTCAAACTTATCAGGTACAAGACCTTATCGGGATCTAGCATTAAGGGTTAAAACACCATGATGAGCACATTTTAAGAGTCAAAGTAATTCTGTTTATATTTGAGCAAAATTGGTGTGGGTGGGGTTCTTTTCTGAAACTCTTTATCAAAAATGACACATACTATGAATCAAACAGGTGGAAAATTAATTATTTGTTATTGACAACTCTCATTTGTTTACTGATGTATCAGAGTGAGTAATATGCAGTAATAGTGAGACTTGTAAATGTGTATTGACCATTACATATAAATTGAAATCTTTTTTTTAGCATTAGAAACTAAATACCACATAAAACGAAACATGCAGAAAACACCAGTATGACAATTCCTGGATGCTGATTAGCACTTTGAAATTAGCAAACTTAAGTTTTCTAATGGCTAGTGGTCAAAGTTTATTAAGAATTTGATTTTGGACTGTTTGATTTTTAATCAGGAGGCTGTAACATCAAAAAAGGGAACATTGACTGGATTTCTTTGTTCCAAGAAGTTCAGAGCTGTTAGTTCTCTTCTTTTCCTTACTGAAATTCTTTCCTCTTCCAGGTGTATTCCATGTCAGTGTTATGGTCACTCAGACTCTTGCGATCCTGTGACAGGGGTTTGCAGCTGTCAAGACAACACTGTGGGTGACAACTGTGAGAAATGTAAAGATGGCTTCTATGGAAACCCAACTGTAGGAAATAAAGATGATTGCAAGCCTTGTCCCTGTGTGTTTGGCTCCCGCTGCATTCAGATTGCTGAAAGAGTTGTTTGCACAGACTGTCCTGAAGGTCACACAGGGGATCTGTGTGACTATTGCCAAGATGGTTACCATGGTGACCTTCTAGGTTCATCAATTGGTTGTGAGAAGTGTAACTGCAGTGGTAATATAGAGATGAATGCAATAGGAAACTGTGACTCCCTCACTGGTGAATGCTTAAAATGTATTTACAACACTAGGAATGGTCCACTTGAGAGATGTGAACTCTGTGCTGTTGGATTTTATGGAAATGCCACCCATTATCCAAAACCTCAATGTATAGGTATGTCTCCTAGGGAAAAAATTCCAATTAAATTATCTTTAAAAGTATGGCGCACTTGCTGGATGTGGCAAGGATGAACAATCACAAAATAATGATTAAGCCATTAATATTAGTGACAGTAAGCTTTTATTACACACACCCCTGTCTTCATTCTTATCACTTATGTTTCAGCCATAGGAATTCCCTATGACTCGTTAATACTAAATGAATGTCCAATTACTCTATTCATTTTTTCTATCCGCCAGCATGTGACTGTTACACTCAAGGCACTGTGAAACCTCCTGACCACAATCCTGAGGATCCCCTCCCTTGTGATGACAAAGGCAGATGTAGTTGCAAAGAAAAGGTTATTGGAGACAACTGTGATAGCTGTCAAGACACCTACTGGAATGTGGGCTCTGGGAATGGCTGTGAGCAGTGTTTGTGCGATAAAACTGGTTCGCTTAACGACAGCTGTGATGTCATCACAGGGCAATGTCCGTGTAAACCTGGAGTGAGTGGAAGGACATGTGACCAATGTCAGTCTGATCATTTTGGCTTTTCTGATCAGGGATGCCAGCGTAAGTACACATATAAAAAGCTATTCTGTAAATGGCTGCATGACTGCTGAAGCTAACGCAAAGCATGGCGTAAGTGTTTTTGAAATTGGACTTTCGTGGTATTTTCTTTCTTTTCCTGAAACATTTCTTTTTTGTTGTTGTTGTCGATCTTAGAGCTGTTCTGTTAGTGGGTGGCTAGAATTGTGTCTTCAGGAAATGGACATTTGATCATATTTGCTAATTTTGTCCGGACTATTTACCTAACAGTGTCTGTAACTGCACTTATGGGGAATCTGTGACTGGGAATTGACATCTCCGCGTGTTTTTACAAACGTGATATTCTTTAATACTCTAGAACTGACGTTGGTTGAAACTAAACAAAATAACAAACGTTTACACTACTTACACAATATACAACCTAAAGAAATAACGATCAACAAGACTATAAAATACTAACATTACCATATTTGTAGATTATGATATATTGGCTGATATACCATAATGGCTAAGCCAATAAAAAGTCTTCAATTGCATTATCCAATGATTCAGTTTTTAATAATACTTGATAAATTATGCAGCAGCACAGAGCGACAGAAGGCTGCAACAAAATGACAAGAAAAGTGCTAATGAAACAATAAGACAATTACAGAATGAAAACACTTAGGCCCTGTTTACAAGCAGGTAGGGTAACCCTAGTGCTAGGGTTACCCTGGCAGGTGGGTTACCCTAACGCTCCCACATTTCTTCTTTTTTTCATCAACGTGTTTACAAGGCAGCTAGGGTTACCGTAGCACTAGGGTAACCTTAGCTGAGCGCTAGGGTTACCCTAGCGCCAGGGTAACCCCAGCTGCCTTGTAAACGCTCTGCTGGGAATAACCCGCCTACCCGGGACAACTTTTTACTTGTTTCCAGACCCTTTGAACATTGATAACAAGGCGTGCGGTTACTAAGCATATGTAAGTTGTCCCGGGCGGTAGGATAAACCTACATGTGAAATTTTGCTTGTAAACTCGGGCTATCTTTGACCCGCCTGCTAGGGTAACCCTAGCACAAGGGTTACCCTCCTTGCTTGTAAACAGGGCCTTAAATAAATAGACTCCAAACACGCAAAGACAAAAACTTTAGGAAGAAAAGAAAAACCAACAAGAAAAATGTCGCACTTAGAACTTACAGTGTCTCTGATACTTGTACTTTCCAAGCTTGCATCTGTAACCCTCAAGGTTCACTTGGTGAGAGCTGTGACGAGTATGGCGTGTGCAGCTGTAAGTTGGGAGTCCTGGGAATCAAGTGTGACTCGTGCGAGGAAAATAAACATAACTTGACGGCCGGCTGCATCCGTAAGTGTTGGCCTGGTTTCTTATCTCCAAGTAGCGTAAGAATTTTTCGGAATTTTGACATACTTTCCGCTAAATCCTGTTACCTTTTTACTTCCTGCCTCGTGACACATAAAACCTTCACTACACCGTGTTGCCTTATCTGTCAGCACTGCAAGAATTACAGGAATTGTTAGGAATCTAAAAGCATTGTCCTTTGCATCCACCATTACCTGGTCACCTATTTATTACGGGCCTCGTAGCTCTTAAGAGCTTCGTAGAACGGGTTGAAGCGGTTGTAACCTGCGTATCTAATGGATCTTTTGGCGCGAAATGGTGTAAAGGCGCCAGAGAGGCAAAAACGAGAAGTAACGCTTTTTTCTTATGTCTTAGTCCAGATTTAATCTCTGATGAATAAGTTTTGTTTTGATTCTGAGACAATTTCCTCGTACGACCCAGGATAATCAGGGTGCATGCAATGTAATTACCGTCTTTGATCATCTGTAAAGGTTGTCCAGCATGTTACAACGAAATTGAGCTGTTGGTCAACAGGCTGAGAATTAATATCCGAGAACTCGTCAGGATCATGGACCAGTTTAACTCTAGCTCAAGTGGAGGAATTGTGGTGGATCCCAACTTTGAACGTCGTCTCAAGGAACTTAAGGAAGCAATCAACAATCTTCTGGAGAAGGCAGAGAAGTCAAATTCAACTGACCGCGCCCTTCAAGAACAACTTCAGGTTCTAACCGAGCGTGTGGATAAGATAAATGAGATCATGACTGATGTGATAAATAACACAAGTGTGACGGAAGAGCTCATCAGCAGTGCGCTTGGAAATATTTCCGAAGCTGAGCAGTCCATAAATCGATCGCGTTTGATGCTCGATGAGGCGGAAAAGCTGTTGGTGGACAGAGGTGAAAAAGCGTTAAATGAATCAATACTTGCGGCGAACAGTACCAGTGAACAGGCCACTAGGATGGCGGAGATTAGGAATGAGGTAACATTTAGTGTGTGCACTGTCAAATCTGGTTCAGATGTACTGACCCATTGTTACTTTAAGAATCGGCCTTTTTCCCCCGTACCAAGCAGGAAGGAATTAACTTGGGAAACTTAACACTGAATTATTTTATTTTTCAGTTTTAGGCGGAATGGTCATGCGCTTGAAAGAGATTTTCTTTTGAAGTGTAACCGTCTATCTGATAATTCCTGAAAATTAAATTGTTCCTTGTAAGTTCTTATCTTTTGTTGCTGTTCCTTTGTTTCTGTTTCAAGACTGTTTTCCTTTTTTTCAGACCTCTCTTCTGGCCGATAAACACGAAAATGAGGCTGACGGCGTCATTGAAAATGCGAACGAAATTCTGAACAAGTCTAAACAAGCGGTGAGTGATACGGAAAAAGTCGTCACTGCGCAGAAAAAGACAACAGATGGTTTAGAGGAGTTGCTCAGAAAATTCAATAAGACAATCCAAATGCACCAACAAGCGGCAAATACTGCAGATAAGTCACGTGGTAGTTCCCAGAGTGCTCTTGATGAGGCGAACGAGTTGTTTGAGAATGGAACCGCGCCACTTCCTGAGTTCGGTTTACAAGAGATGAAAGGTGATGTGAGAGCAGTTGGTCAGTATTAGATCTGTACTATGGTATGACCGCGATGAGTTTAAACCAATAGAATGGAAAGCACCTTAATGTTATTTCCACTATGCACTTCGATGCACTTGTTATACAATCAGTGGCAAAGTGAAGTGCCTGAAACGTTAAGCAAACTATTGAAAGTAACGTCACTTTACTAAGTTCTTTGATGATGTAGTTCCTTTCTAATTTTAGAAGACACCCCAGTCCCCACCCCAAAGTATGATTTTGACCTCGCGTGACATCTACAGACCAGCACACTTCTCGTGAAATTTGTCTCTTTTACTGATTCTTTAAAATAAGTCTCTCAAGAAGACTAACAAGTATCGAATATTTATCCAATTTCAGCAAAAATCAACAACTCCAAAGCAGAATTGGCCATCACCTCAAACTCTACTGAAGAGATCCTGAGTGACCTGGAAACACTGGTCACCACTTTCGCCATGAAGGAAGAATACGTTAGAAAGAAAATGGCTGAGTGGCCAGGCCTTTTCGAAACACTGCAGGAACTGTTGACCAATGTCACCGGCGCTAACGAAACTGCTCATAACGCGATTGCTCGAGGGGAGGAGACATTAAAGAAGGCGAAAGACTTGTTGGAAAGACTTAAAGTATGATATTAACATTACGATGTGGGAATGCATATCTGGTCGTCGTGGCTTGTTTAATATATAAAATTAATTTTTGTTGGTTCTTCAGGTTTCAGTAGTTTATTGTTAACTTTTAATAGCTTGTTTTGATGTACAATATAAACATCCTTTTAAACACCTGGCACTAACACTAAACTTTAAGTGTTTTCGTGACTTCAGTCCCTCTATCAAGTAATATCAAGACTAAGGAGAAAAATAAACCCCATTGATTAAAGATCGTCAAGAAACAAGAATTAATACAACAGCGTAGATTAGAGAGCCAAGCCAAGTAGAACTGAAACAACTAATAAATTCATGAATTCATTGGAAGACACACTTTTTTTTCATTCGCAGTCACCATACAACAGTGTGGTGTTTTACATTTCAGAAATTCAACGAAATCATCGACACTTCCAGAGCAGAGGCTGACCGAGCCGAGGCCAACACAACAGAAATAGAACGACTAATCAGTTCAGCTAATAACAAGTCAGATGAGGCTGCTGTTACCTTGGAAACTACTGAGAACCTGGCCAGGAAGGCGAAGACAATAGCTGGGGAGGCGAGTGAGACAGCTAACAGAACAGGAGAGGTAAGTTGGTGTTAATCCATTATCAATGAATCGTGGGCGTGTTAAGTGTGTTTTCTCTAAGAAAGATTAGTATTACTCACTGCAAGTGGAATACTATACGATAAGGGAGGCCGGATAGCTAGGTGGTTTGTTTCTGTGCCCATATTTGAAATGTTTCCACTTACCGAACGATGGTAAAGTCCGAATGATCCAACCACGTAGTGGTTTATGTTCCAAAAGGTTTCAGCATTGACTGCCACGCCTTTAATTCATTTAAAGTTTGACTCCCATCAGCACTAAGGTTGTATCGTATTAAGAGCCGATTTTGGTGAGAAAAAGGAAGTGTCTAAAGAAACACTCAGTCGACTGTTAACTAAAAGTTGGTGAGGGTCGAGGAAATGCGTCGGCGAGTTTTGAAAAGCTTACCTTTTGCCATAAAAGCCGAGGTGAAGGATTGCTCAGTCCTATCTACCTTCACTGACTTCACGGAGAAACGATAGCGGGGGAGGTCACAGCTCACGTAGGCTCTGAGTAGATAAACAACGAAATGTTTTAGTAGATGGATGATGTAGTGATGATCCGTAGCAGGATTCCTATTCCTGTAGCGTTTCGTGAGATCTCCACAAGCTCAATCCTGATCCTGAATTCATAGTTTATAAACATTGTCAAAGATTAACCAATCGTTACTCTAGGTTATCTAAGTAAGCACACATTCTATGGTCTGAATCATGGAGATTTGTTAGACGGGTATGATGTCTCAAACTTGTAGTATTCCACTGCTTTCTTAGAGCAAAAATGAATAGAAATCAACCGTTAGTTGCTGTTTACTTCGATTGACCACCAACAGAAAGCTAAAGAAATTAAAGAAGAAGCAGAACTACTTACGATCCCTGAAGACAACGTCACTGATCCAGTTTTGGAAGCCACCGATGAATTGAACGACCACAAGAATACCGCTGCCGAAGAGGAGAAGAGTATTGCAGACGCGCTGAACAAGACAAAAGAAGCTGGCGAGGCTGCGAAGAATGCGCGCGAAAAAATAAAAGAGGTTCATGATAGGCTAATGGCACTTCTGAAAGAGATTGAGGGCCTGGGCTCTGTGAATATGACGATAATGAATCGCATTAAAAATCAGCTTCAGAACGAAACGGACTTGGTACGTCAGTTGGACCGTGAAGTATCAGCAGTGGAAAAAGAGAGGGAACAAATAAAGAATCAAATAAAAGAATATACTATAGATCTAACTAGATATCGCGCGCAAAAGAAACTTCTTCAAGAGACGTATGAAAAGCTCCCGAAAGTTTGCCCTCGTACGACTCCACGACCAGAAACGTAGAAATGATTAAGTTTTGTATTTGTGACACTAACATGAAGGTCGTTAAGGTTCTGCGCGACTGAAATAGGACGGCCAAGAACAACGCATTAAACATCTTCTGCTAAACAACGTTTCTCAACTAAACGACAACTTTGTTTATTATCAGTATTTTGTTATTATTATGTATCAAATTATAGCAATAAGATATGCATTTACCCTTTTGTATCGCCAAGTATTCTCAAATAATTGCTCAGTTTTAGGATGGAGTTGCACATTATGTTATCGAATGGTATTTTGAAATTAACATTTCTATCTTAATTATGGTTCATATTAATCAATGCAAGTATGTTTACAGAAATGGAAGTGAAATTAACTTTCCAAATTTTAATGTTCACACATTTAAAACGGTTTTCTTAACAACAACTTCAATAAATTGTTATTGCGTTTTTCATCGTTGATACGGGTTTGTTCTCTTCGAGATCAACCATTTAGAGGAGTCATTTTTGCATTTGCTTGCATTATTTATTTGCTTAAGTCAAGCTCTCATATATATATGAGTAAATAGCTGTCGTAAAAGACATGCGGGCATCAGCCGGACCAAGTAGCATATAACTCCGTTTCAAGACAAGGCGATACTGGTCGCTTCAGACTGTTATGTCACTCGGTTTCCCTGTACAATCGGCTTTGTCAATAAAACAATTTTTCTTCTTTTGTGTCATCACATGAAAACATTTTCGCCTCTTTCGGGAAACGAAGGCATTCCACCATCCAAAGTTTCTTTAGTTATCTTGATCTAACACACAATTTTGATGAACAATTTAAAAGGAAATGCGTAGCAGGCAAAAGGGGGAATAAATAATCAGATCTTGGGAGTTAAGGGTTAAATGGCTACGGTGTCGAATAGACTTTGACCAAGAACCTTGTTCAGCAACTAAAATTTGCATTACTCTTGAGTTGTAAAAGGTGAAACTGACAAAATAATCGCTCGCATCCGCTTTTCTTAATTACCTGAACGTTTCTATGGTAACCCTCGGGAGACTAAGGGACGTGTTGATAATAATGGGGTAGTTTTTAATACCAACCCTCCTCCCCCCCTCCCTCAAAAAAAAAAAAAAGAGAGAGAAAGGAAAGGTGAGGCAATTGTAAAATCGAATCATCAGACGTTGGTGGTGAAACCCAGAAAACCCTTCCAGCCACCCAACCTTGAACCAAGATCGTCCAGGATTCACAACTGTTTTAAATTTGTACTACTACTGCCATATGGGGAAGCAATGCATATGGACTAACCCTTATTTACGAACAAACAATCACAGATCCGTGGAAGCTAACAGTTTATGGAATCTCAGTGTGTACAGAATTATTTACTGTATTACTGGCCAGCCACATCCCTAGATCTCTAGAAGTCACACGTTTGTGGAGCTTGGATACACAGCTCGTTCTACTAAGGTAAAAAATAGCCCAATACATAGACAACTTAACTAAAGGTGCATTCAAGAATATTTTAACAACCAGACCAAAAATTATTGGCCAAGGATTGTCTCAGATTCCTTAAATATATCTATCTACCAGTATCCAGTGAAACAACTCAGATTTCTGCTCTCATAAATGAAGCAGTTACAGTTCACTTCATTATTCCCAAGTCCTCTTCGCAAAAGTGTGATGTATATACAACACCTCGCATCATTTCTTGCAGTCAGTTGATGAGAAAAATCTACTAATTAATATTTTAGTGGCAAAAAACCTACATCAGTCAGAAATGTATGATGAATCAGAATTCCAAAATGTGCAAGTCTTATTTGAAAACCAATTAAACCCTTAAAATCTTGTTCCTTTAACTTGCCTAATTTGTTATTTCAACTGTGTTTTCTACTTTTGCAAACAACTACGACACAATTTCTACACAACAATTTGCATGCCACAAAAATACCTTAAAATTTGTGTAAAGCACACCAATAAAATTGGATTATTACACATTTTACTAAGTACCAAAGTAGCTACAAAAAGTATCCTTGTGAGACAATCCAAATATTTTCTTGAAAAGAACAATGGCAAAGTTATGTTATCAGTGCTGTGTAACCAAGTTCACAATTTCCTGATTTACAAATTAAATCTTTGTTATAATAGGGTTCCATCCAGAAGTCTGTAGAGAGTTAATTTCCTTGAATTGGTTCCCTATGTGGAAGTCAAGGGACTGTTGTCAAAAGCAAAATAACAATAACACTAATACCAATAAGTTATAACTGCAAATTACTGCTTTACTCCTTCCATGGGCTACCATGACTCACCCAGTTGAAAGAAAACTTTTAGGCATAATTTTAAAACTAGCTTTTAGATCATTCAAAATCTTTAACGGATGCTTCTTGTTGCAAAGACTGCAATACCTGTAAGACGTTTCCAACACTTGGTCTCATTTAATATTAAAGTAATTATAATTGATGAAATCTCCATCTCTACAGACTTGCCTAGAGACCCCTCCCTTGATATTGTGGAAAGTGAAAGCTTTCATCAACCATTCTCTTGAGTAACACAACAAACTTTTCCACTAAGGATTAAAATTTACCAATAATAATAATTGCTATCATTCTACATGTGGATACATAATATTTCTAGTGGTAAAACCATTAATACAATCACCAACACTGATCACTTGGTATGCCATTTCAACACCAGAGTGATATTTATTTACAATTTGGAATAAGTGAAATAATTTATGGTAATTAACAGTAACTTCGTACTATAGACCCAGATAAAAAAAATTATAATTTGAAATTTTTGGAATAATTTGTTTTTGTATAAAACTTTTCTCCGTGATATTATTCACATCAACTATTACCATTCCTTGGGTTGACCAAATTTAATTTGAGGGTGCACCAACATTTTGAGAAACATTACGTCACTTTAAAACTAGAGAGATCCAAACTACACAAGACAGTTTCTCTAGACTACATCAAAAAGTCCACAGGTCTATTATGTTCAAAACTGATCCAAAATAAAAAATTTTTTTGGAAGATTACAATCCCTTTTTGAAGAATATTTTATAAATACAATGGTTTTATTAGAGAGATAAGAGTACACTCCAACAGATATGTTAATCTAAAAATGAAAACAAGTCATTTTTAAAACACAAGGAAAATATTGTTTTCAAAAAAGAAACATGAAGTTGCACCCTGGTACATAGTTTTAAGACCCAACACAAATGATGTAAATAACAAGAATATTCCCACCACTAGTCAAAAAAATAAAACAACTTAAACTCTGTTAACTAATATCTGTTATTAGCTATAATACTAATTTTAAGACTCTGTGAATGTATGTCGCGGGGCCACAGGAGATTCCTGACCACTGGCTCCACTTTTGTCACCATTTCCATCTTGATCACTTCCAACCACCTCTTGATCACTGAACAAGGGGTTAACAACTGTCATATCACCAGTCTGAAAACCAAAGTAGAAAGGAACTCATAAATTTCCTTTTCAGCAGCACAATTGGATTTACAGCTTGCCCTGCTTTGATGAAATGTTTGACAAAAGCTACCCTTACCTTGGCCTGTTTACAATGATTAGCTCTCAAACTGAATTATTTAATTTAAATATAAAAATAATGACCTGTATAGTGCATGTTACATTGCTTCCTAATTTACAAAACGTTATCATAACAATTCTACAGTGCATCTCATTCATGGATAATCCTTCAGTTTTAAGAAGAAATACTTGACTGTTAATGGCTACATCCTGCAATCTGAGTACATGTGGATGACTATGTAACACTGTCAGTATGGAATCATACCGGAGCCAGCCCATGACATTCATAGACAGTATAATCCTCATCATCTCCTTCATCACTGTTATCATCATCATCAAGAGTTTCCCCTTTGATGCCACCTTTCACACCACTAGCCCTGATTAAAAAAACACATCATGACCAGTCACTAGAAGTGACATTAAGAATGAGGATAACCATGTCAAATCATAGTAAGTAGAAACTCTGTAGGTCAGTGTTGTGACTTCATTCCATTGATAGCACTCCTTTCAGACTCAGAGGTAATTTACTTATAATAGTAAGGAGTAAAGCTATCATTACAAAGGACTAGATGAAACTTCTTTTTTAAAAGATAAACTAGTGAGCAGTGCTTCACAAACTAAATTATTATTAAATATGTGACTTTCAAACACATCACATACTTGTACATGCATTGACTGAAAAATGTAACGCATATACATGTAAAACACCACACTATGCATGAAGGTCAAAAATAAACATTGAATTCAGTATGACTTTTTTGTGTAAATAAATAAGCTTATTTTTTCTTATTATTTTTTAACTTCTGCAGCGAAGTCTGCTATTGTTGTACAAAATAAATAGGATAATAAAATAAGTTTTTATCATTTCAGTTCGTGCAGTGATGCTCACTAAATTATCAACTAAAAGAAAAGTTATTAATCAATACTGTCAACCCTCACTCTGAAACCCACCTTTGACTTACACTAACTCATAACCCAAACAAAATCCTTTCAAACCATAAAACTTTAAAACAAAGAACTACCAGAAACCACTACCAACAGTTCCATAATTCCTCTGTTAATTTACACATAAGTTTTCCAAACAGTTCATCTCTACAATCAGTAAGTACTAATACTGCAACCATCTCCTCAATTCACGAACATTCTATTCTTACACAAATGAAGTTTTATGTAATGCTGCTCTCGACATATTCGGGTTTTTCTCGTTGCCATGTTCCCACCAATCACGTAGCTCCTTTTTCTGCCTTTAAAAGCGCACACAACCCACAATTCCCCTATTCGCTCCGACGAAGGGCTAACGCTCGAAACATCAGCTTTTATAATCGTAACGGTGGCCAATTTACCATTTCAACTTTGTTGATATATTCAAATTATTTTGTTACCCCCACCGACGCAGCCCCAAACAGTTTCTTTAGAAACTATCAGCCTTTATTAGTTCACAAACTGTTATCAATAATTAACAAGTTGTTAGCACTGATATGAAATTGTGTATAACAACATACTTCTCTAGGGCTGACAGCTGACTCTTTGTTTGTTGGTAATGATATATTTCAGCATTGTAATCAAGTTTATGGTCCCCCTGAAAGAATATTCATGCCAGGCAGTTAGTATAACAGTGCATGTTCATTTTCAACCAGAAATACGTTTATCTGCAGATGTGATTAGCCTTAAACAACCCTTTTATTAACAAATCTAGCTCTGTTCTGTGTCTTGCTCTATTACATTGTGTAACAATTAACTGATGAGTTTGAAGCACTGTGATTTAAAAGTTGTACATTTCCTAATATCAAGAACAGTTATAGAAATAACAGTAAACAAATATCTTGTACACTGTTCATTTTATGTGGTTTTGAGTAAGGCAAGACCTCAATTCAATGTCCATGCTTGTTTGGCACATGAGTCTACCCAACAAAGGCTACATGGATAACAGAACATAGGGTGCACTTAAATATAGGGTCTGCTTAATAAAAAGTGTCCCTGTTCCGAAACCTAGAAAAGAGAATTCTTTGTGTCCAGTTATTAATAAAGCCCTGGAGAAAGTTATACCTGTGATAATTGAACACCCTGTTTTGTTGCACCATAACTTGAATATTCTGCTTCACTTACAGCTTTTGCAGTAGTGTGGAGCCTTACAAAAAAAAGTTGATTAAACTCAATGAACTCCTTGAAAATATCATGGAAGGCTCAAAACTGTTGATAAATACATATTATTAAGCACTAAACTCGTGTATCCTGAAAAAAAAAAAAAAACAATTCAACACCAAAAGAGACTTTCAACCCATAACTATACAAACATGTCATGCTAGAGTCAAATGAAAAACAGTAATTGATAATTTACAATTTCAAAATTTCTTTCAGCCTATTAAAAATCCTGCTCAGAAAACCTGATCCTTTAATCAACTTACACTTGTCCAATTGGTTGGTAGGTTAATTGGGAAGCTGCTGATTATAAATAATTTCTAGATGAACAGTTTTGTCTTGAGTTCACAAACCAATAAAAGTCTTGAAAAAAAGTAATTACCACACCATTACACACACACACGCACGCACACACGCACGCACGCACGCACACACACACACACACAAACACACACACAAAACATAATTTACACAAACCAGGCTTACACCATTGAACTGTAAATAAAATCTTCACTTGACTCTTCCATTTGATGGCAACCTCCCCAAAGTGTTATTACCCTTACTCATCAGACTCATTATTTAAATTCACAGACAACAGTCTGACACCAGGGGCCCATTTCTCGAAAGTCCCGGTAACTTAACAGACCCGAAGCCATATTTTAACCCATTAATAGCCGCAGCTTTTGTGAAAAACTGTGTTTTGAAGCTAGTCGAGCAGATTTCGGGTCACTGTTGTGGTTTAAAAGCTCAAACTTACCACAAACCCATTCACAGCTTGTACACTCGATGGCCTTTCGATCCAAATGCAAAATGGCGGCCTGAAAATCTTGGGCAGGTGCAGAAAGCAAAATTTTGAGATAGTTTTTGGGTTGAAAAGTAATGCCACACTTACGACTTTTACTTTTCTCTCTTTCTCCTGCCCTTTTTTTCTCCTTTCCTTGCCTGAAGTTTCTCCTCACTTGCTGGAAATTTAGTAGGCTTCATTTTGGTGTAGAGATTTTTTAGGAAACCACTCATTATTTTCAAACCACATGCTCAGAAAGGTAGGTGGGTAATGGAACAAGATTTTCGTGCAGATTTTCAGGTCAAAGTTGCATGGTTTTTTGGCTATTTCTTCAATCTCCTTCACTCAATTGCACTCATTCTGGTTTCGTTTGGAAGATATTTTCAACCTGTTTAAACGTGCTCAAAGTCGTGCTCCAGGGTTAAAAGTGATGATGTCACAAGGCGTAGAAAGGGTGTGATTCCACATGGGTGCTTACAGGTGCACTGGACGTCAATAGGTTAAAATCAAAATTTTAAAGGGTAAGAAACAGGTTCGGGCACCCAAACCAGTCCTTTTTGTTTCTTTAGCTAATACTTTTGTTGTATCATTTACAAAACTTTTTTAAATCCACATCTTGAATGAAAACAGAACAGCTTTATGGGCCCGTTAAGTTACCAGGACTTTCGAGAAACGGGCCCCAGTTCTTTCTAAGACTACCATCAACCCATCTACAAGACTGACTCCTGCAATTTCCATATTTAAAAAGAAAAAGCTTTGAATGTCAATAACATGATTTGATTTAACTCACTTGTACCAACAGTATCCTGCAAGAGCTAGTCCTGCAATGCCAGCCACACTGCACCCAATAACTATAACTGGAAAGACAAAAAGTCAAGGGTTTAATGGCTACTTCTGTCTTCTCCTTCTTGCTGAAAATAGCATGGTACTATCATGAAACAGGGTTATGCAATGTTGCTACAGAAATAAGCCTCCATTCAAAACAATGCCATTTAAACAGTCACCCAACTGTCTCCAAAAGAGAACAATACAACCTAGCATTACTCAAAAATTCATTTGGCTTATAACGTAACAATTTTCATATAACTTCTCAGCTTACAATGCCTTTTAGATATTACAATTGCATCCCAATTAGTAGAGCTTAACATATATCCCTTATTTTAATCAGAAATACAAAAGCAAAAGTAAGAAAATCACAATCTCTCAGATGCTCTGTTCAATTCAAGTTTTACTTTTGGGATGGATGCTAATGCTGACAACTTCCAGCATACCAGCAAAAGAGCAGCTATGGTGCAAAACCATTCACAACATGTAAAGGAGTATGGGTCTTAGTTTCCAATTTATATGATATGAAGTGACACGGAGGACAAAGAATGGAAAATTCTTTTGATCTGTAAAAGAAGCCAACACCAAATTCCCTTCTGCCCCCAAAAAGACTGTCAGACTACACTAAGAACCATCTAAAGTACATGTGTAAAAATGAACAGCAAGAATTGGCCAATAACCCAACAGAACGAATTCTGCCTACCTTATCTCTTAAACAAATGATCCATGAAGTAAGGAAAAAATACTTCCTTAAAAAAAACCTACTTTAAGAATGACCAAAAACTATGCATTCTAAAACAACTCATTTCAACCTAAATAAAGCTTCCATATGTGTTCAATAAATCAAACCATCCACATACTTTTGATCTGTATCACCTACCCTAACTGATAATCTATCTGTCAGTAAAACAAAAAGTTCCATGCAAAGGTGAAAAGAAAGCATCAACATGTTCTATTGTTTGACAAAAAAAGCAGATGAAATTTCAAACAAGATTTCACAAGAAAAGGGTTTAACACAATGAAATCAATACAAAAAAAATTAAAATTTAATTTTGCATAGCTTGCAGCCAGTTGAGCTTCTCCTTAGTACATCAATTATTCAATCAGTTTTAATTCTGAACATTTCTCAAGTCAAATCAAATCAAGTCTCAAGTCAAGTCAAATCTCTGTTTAGATATATCCATTCATGAACACAGCTTACAACAATGTATCCTAGCTATATATTGACATGAATTACCACCCCTGGATTATATTTTTGACACTTCATTTGCAAAATGAAAACATCTGCTTAAATCAGGAAGAGAGGATGAAATTTTGTAAAATTTGTTAGCATCCCCATCTAACTTATTTGTACATCAAGGAAAATAATATTCTGGTGTTCCAATTAAGTTTTTTAACAAAACATCATTTAAATTTTACTTCTCTTTGGCATTAATTCAAAATTATTGTACACTTACAATTTTTGCAATAACATTTAAAGAATTCGTCTCCTTTACCCAAATTGAGTTCCTTTTACCCTATTGACCTGTGATTTTCAATGGATGTAGTTTAACACAGTCTTGTTATTTCCTTAAGCACCTATTTCCTGAAATGTGATCATGGCAAGGTAAATGTTTACTTCCCTAAGGAATCCTAACTTTCAGATTTAGTGAATTTCTTCTTTAATAAATCCCACAGATTTTCCAATAACTATTATATACCTAAATCAGTGTCACAGAAATCTGAAAATAACTTGACAGGCAAGACATTGGTGACTTATATTGCATGAATAAAGTCTCAATATTGCAACATGTCTAAAAGAAGAAAACCTTATGTCAAGTAACGTCACTGTCGCTGAAAGGCAATCACGAAACAACGTAACACGGAAGATAGTGACGGAATACGGAAAGCCCTGCACCTCGATTTTGTCGGAAGGATTTCACAGTCTGGGATTTTTGACAAACTCAAAAATTAACTAATTTCCAGCAGAAAATCAAAATAGAGAGCAATTTTTTGTAAACATAAACTGTCCCCAACCGAGAAGAAAAATAGTGTCCTAAAGAGGACTGTCATAATGCTACTGACAATGGAAAGAAAATGTTTGAGAAAACGAAGGGAATTAAAATCTGTGTGCAGGTCACAGTTCACAAAGAAAAGAAATGTGATTTCAGCTTAAAAGGAAGGACGCTCATATTGGCGAGGAAGGAAAGGAACGCTCATCGGATCAGTTTCAGCTACACCAACTGAATAACAAAATAAACGGGATCGTGATTGGTCTCGGAAAACATCTAAAAATTCTTAACCAACGTAAATGACTGCATTATTTCCGATGAAACATTTTGACAGAAAAAAAAAACATAGAGCTCATGAATTTCGATCAATATTAGTCGTGTTTCATTTAAATTGATATATTGGCGTCCATTAATTTTCTGCCTGATATTATGAAAAACCGAAAACAACATTAAAATAGAGTACATGCACATCTAATTCCGCCCACTGTGTCAAATATTATGATTTTCCATTTGGGCCCAAAATATCTCCCGTTGAAAAATGTACCAGGGGGAAATAATTTGTTCTGGGCACGGTAAAATATAAAAAGAAAAATACTCACATAAAAAATAAATGTCGTCTAACTCAGCTCTAGCTGGCGTGTTTTTCACTTTCAGGACGTAGGGTCGCGGCGTAGATGACGAGTTTGAACCTGGAATAGCGAAAGGTGTCCCTGCGTTCGAAGATTTCAATTGAGCTGCTTGAACTACTTTTGCAGGTTCAGCCAATTTAATTTCGCCGACTTTGGTAACACTGTCCCTTGTCGCTTGATTTTGATCTACATTTCCATCCGAATCAATATTTAATCGCTCCTTCACTTCATAATTTCGATTCAACCTGATATCATGCAGGTTTTGGCTACCTCTGTCATTTTTCGGGGTTAACCTCTTCTTGTCCTTCGATAGCTTCCCTGATTGCACATCATCCTTGTCGGCTTTCAATATTTTCCTGGAATCGTCCGTCGATTCATTCACAACATCACTTTTCGATTTATCGTCCTGAGTGTCAGAACTCACGTCTTCTAGCCCAGTAGCCGGAGCACTTACGAGCAAATCTTTTTCCTCGGCACTCGATAAAGTAGCCTCTGTTGGTATCTGTCCTCTGTTGGACTGATCGAAAACTTTTTGCAATTCAAGGCCGTCCGTCACATCTACTCTATCATAGTCAGGTCTTTTCTGTTCCACACCTAGAAATATTAAAGATCACTCGTTATCAGAACGAAAAACAACTTGGTACCCTTGGTTGGAGATCATTATTTTTGGCAAAATGCATGAAATACCACATCAGCTCGGGTCTTAAATAAGAAGGTTCGGCGACATGTTTCCCAAGGAATAACACGTTTTTTAACAGTAGTCCTTCACTTGACTAAAAGGCGTCACAGAATCGTCGTTAGGAGATAGCTGAAAAACAAACCTGTCATCTCTTTTCGTAACCAACACTCTCGCCATGTTTGAACTTCGCTTTCTTTTCACGAAAGAGTATTTGGAAAAACGATGAAAAAAATCTAGATTCAAACCAATCTTCACTTAAAGCCATTCCAGTCCCATAACTGGTCATGAGATCACAAAAATCCCAACGGACCGTACGCTACTTGATTGCTGAAATTTTAATATTTCTTGATGCGGTAGACCGTAGAATATTAACACGGAAAAAACCCGTGTTAAAAAAATATTTCTACGACAAGAAGAAAAGAATACAAAAAACTAACGTGTAAGGCATTTTTTGACCGAATACCCAAATATCTTCTGGTGTGTAAATCAAATTCAAGCTGAAAACGTTTTCAATGAATAATGTAAATGTAAACAGCCAACTCGCACCCGTTTCGCATCGAACAGATCGCCATCAAACACCACTTGTTTCCCGCTGAATACGTAGAGGGAACACAATTCAGAAAAATTACGCTTCACAAAACCCTGAAGATTATTTTAAATAAAAATATCGATCTGAATTAAAAACTTAACGACGAAATTCCACAGTGAAAGAAAGCTTTGATACAAGACATGTTTAGGTTCCTTCATGCGTGTGGATCAGTCCATGTACCTGTAATCTGTCGTGTTGGTACCGGTTTTGGATACTACTCTACGATAAAACAACCAGACCATCAAAGTGTACAGTACTTACCTCTAATATTTTGGCTACCCTGGACGATTAAAAGGGAAAGAAAAAGAAGGACAGGGTAGGAATTCATCGCTGTAAATTTACCCCACCATTTTCAAACACTCAAACCTTTCCGACACAACATTTCTGCGAGAACTTCTCTGATGCACGCGCGGAACTCTGGGACATTTCCTAAATTAGCATGATTTATGCAAATAGAAGCAAATAGAGCGAAAGGTAATTAATTTTCACTTCTTTTCTTCGACGACCAGCCACGACTGACCTTGTCAAAGGCCTTCGAAGACCATTTCACTAGAAACGCACACAAGTCTGATTTTTATGTTAAATTTTACTCTTTTTTTTCGCCTTAAAACACATTCAACTATGAATGTGACAAATCAACACAAGTCCCTTTCGTCATGTTGTCATTTGCATGCGGAATTTTGAGTGCATGCAACCGCGTTAAAAACAAAATATTATCCAATCACTTTATTACTTTGTCGGCTGTCAAAAGCACTTCGAATCAATCTGTGCTGTCCCGCGGTATTTCTTTCCGTCAACGAAGTAAAATAAAAGCATATAAAGCGTGGCCGCTCTATTTTATACTTCTAGCGAATATTCAAATGTGAAAATTTTAAAACCCCTCTTTTTTTCTTCGACAGTTCAAAGCCCATTGTCTTTGAGACAATGTTTTATGGACGACATGGTCAGTTGAACATGCACAGTAAATGAAATCTCAGTATGATATGTTAGTTTTTAGAGAATGACTCGCCAAAAAAAAAAAAAAAGTAGTTCTTACGACCGAAGACGATTTTTGAAAAACCCTCAAGTTCATTTTAGCCAAGGTAACTACGTAGATTTACGACTCTTCTTTTAAGAAGAGTCGTAAATCTACCTGGTTACCTTGGAAAGTAAAGTGGTCAACTTAACGAATGCGGTAATTAGAAGTTAAGTTACAGAAGGCCTTCTTTTGTTCTCGTAGTTGAAGAGTCAATCGAAGGGAAAGCGGAAAAACAACAAACTTAGCATAAATTCCGGTTTGTGGTTTTTCGCATGAGGACTAGGACAGCTCCAACGTCCTTCACTGACTTGCGTATATTTTATCTGGACCCTTTGTTCCAACCCATGTGATGCTCTTTACTGAGTTTTAAGGTGGTAAAAACTTTGTAAAACCTTTTCGCAGTTCAAAACACGATTGAAACCCAAAGGAATCCAAGATGTAACTTTTTTCCTACAGTGAGTAAACTAACCGCCTATTCCCCCAAGGATCAGCTTAAGAAACCGTTTAAGCCACATTTTTTTTTGAGGGGGGGAAGGGGTAGGCCCTTCTAATTACCACTACTATGTTCGGACTTCAACAGAGGGCACTGGAAATAGGCTAATATCAACCACTTTTGATTACGTCCACTGTTGAATCTTAGAGGCGTCATCGTCTGTTACGGCACTGATTCCGAAAGGAAGACTAGCAGTATTGCAGCTTGTCACAATCATGGACCAATATGCCCTTGACTTTGATGCACACCCTTACAATTCACTTAGTTTATTCATACCTTTCAAGGCCTATATATGCACGTGTGACGCCAAAGAGCTTTTTTTTTTTCTTACCCTTGTTTGTCCTTGTCCTCCAAGTCTGAAACTGTAAGTTTAGTAAGTTTTTTTTTTTCGTCCAGTTTAAGTTTGAAATTGAAGCTTCAAAATATAGGAAGTCCTGGTTTCAAGAAGGCCTAACTTTTGTTAGCAAAGAGATGGGCCCCCGATGTGGAGCAGGGTAGGAAGGTTACTTGTTTGGGGACTGGGCTTAAAGTTTGCCAACTCCCAAAAGTGAAAAATACCCAAGGAGTTTATCGAATAAACCACACCCGTAAAATGTCCCCTTACATCTTTCTTTTTTTTTCTTTTGCTTATGACTTAAATCGAGACTTTGTTTTATTTTTAGTAAATTATAGTTATTTATAATTAATTTCGTTATTTTGATTTGCTTGTCTTGTTGCTTTTTTTTTTGTTGTTTTTGTTTATTTTTTTAACAGCCCGCCTCCACTCTCTTCAGTCTTTGCTCTAAATATATTGCATGAAAAAATAAAAATAGACCCATTTCAACTTGAAAAAGGAGGCACAGATACAATGGCTGTAAACTTGTCTCCCAGCGGGTAAAGCTAAATCAGCGGGTACTTTGTATGCTTTCAAAATATGTGACACAAATGTACTGAGCGGGTTTGACTGAAGTTCTGTGATTGAATGGTGGAATTATTCTATCCCAGAAGTGATATGCAAATATTTCAGATAAACGTATTAGCACTTGGATTGATTTGATAATGTCAATGATTTCTTCTCTGAAAAGAAATTGAGCTGATTAGCGTTTTGGGTGCGATCTAAATCTTCATTTTACAATCAGAATTCCTTTTGAAAGTGGTTGTTTGATCCGAGGCATTACTCACCAAATAAAGAGTGTATATATGAATAAAAACCTGAATGGTGAGGTATTTCTTTCTAGTTGGAATTTAAGTGAGTGTACCGTGACAAGGAAGCTACCAAATGACAGAACCGTGTTTTTCGCATTTTTAGACTTGACAGCTTTTCGGTCTGAAATTCAATCTTCCTGTAAGCCACAGGGATGGCAATTAACCCGCCACTACCTGATTATACAGATATAAATATCTACATGTATAAGAAGGCTTTATGAAAAGCGATCTGTTACATCGAAGATAGAAGGAACTGTAGTTTCAGGAATAACTGATATTCATGTTATGCGATCTCAGTTTATGCCGTGAGATTTTCTTGCACTGCTCTCTATATAAATCGTCCAGCAAAAATCGGCAATAACAAGCTTCAAAGTTAATCGGTGACTTGCGTCATTCAAACCGAAGACCGGAGATTGTCTTTTTCAAGAAACGTATTTAAATTGCGAAAGATAAAATGTTCATCTCTATCAATGAAAAGATGATTTTCTGTAAGCAAACTGTGTCTTCAAGAGAACCTGCCAAGAGTTCCTCACTAAACGTTTTTTTAAAAGATTTTCTAAAATCTTCCTAAAGGAAAGAAAAAACATTGGCCCTCAGGCTCGTGTGCAAACCATGAAAATCACCTTTCTTTTTAGCTCATTAATTTTGGTGATCTCCAACCAAACGTTGGAAACTAGAAAGAGCCACTCACTACTCATGTTCATATTTTTGTATCAAAGGCACAACTGCTTCCATTTCAGGAATTTAGGGGTTTCGAATTCAGCCGAGAATATCATAAAACTTGCGAAATATTAAGGAGAACATTAATATTTATTCAGCTGGCTACAGAGGCAACGAATTTGGCAAAATATTTATTTCTTCGTGACTGTATGCCCACGCAATCTTAATAATATACGAATAGATTGACCAAATATTTAAGAAGCGCTAATGTGATCTGACGTCATTAAACCACTAAATCAAGATTGAAATGTCAGAGAAAAGTCAGTCAGAAAGAAAAGAAGTTTTTTGATATGTCAGAGATTAGACGTCTACGTACAGAATTCATATTTGGTCTTCTTTTATGTTATTTGATCTAGCCTCGTCATTTAAATCCCAAGAAACATTTAAAAAGCAAATATTGATATCTGATAGACGTCGGTCACGATGAATATTTTTTCAATAACGTATTTTTGATTGCAATGATGGCTAAAACTGATTGCGGATTTAACTTCTTTGATGCGAAGTTACCAAAAAACACAATAAACGCTGAAATTTTACAAAATAAACGGTCTGAATTTTTGAAATATTGTTGTAATTTCAATTAATCATTCGGTCTCAACTAGTTTCTCAGAAGAAAGACTATGATTGATGTTTAGGCGATGTCAGGCCCTAAGGATAGCAACAATCGATATTACGTGGGGTTCTTTTCTAGAAATTTTTAAAATTATTCCTATCGCACAGAAACACAGCGTGCTAAAAAATACTGATGAATATGCTTTTAACCATTTTTACAATATGGGTAACAGATATATTTCAATTCCCTTCAGGCTGTATATATCATGTTGTGAAGATGGAAAAATCTATTTTCTGTAACAGTGGATTTAAGGGCAGTCCCAATAAATTAGTTAAATAAAACTGACCAACAACAGTTGAAATTAAACTAAGCGATTTTATTTTACTGCATATAATAATATAACCTCATGTTCATTCACCACTGTTCAAAGTAAAACGATAAAAACAAAGTAAAAATAGAGACAGAGCGAATGATCTCGAGGCTCTCAGGAACGTGTGGACCAAATGACACTGGGGACTACTTTCCTTTGCTTAGATCCCAGATTTCTCTACAGGGACAAGGAACGCCCGGCGCAAATTTGCCAGCAACTATTTTACCGGGTACTGGACGAGATGCTATAGATTAGCCTTTATCGTAAGACTTTTTTGATGGACGAAGAACTCTTGCAACAAAGTTTGGAACAGTATAAGGAACAAGTGAGTTTCTTCTTGCGAAAAAGGAAACTGATGTAAAGGGATAGCTGTGCGACCCCTAAACACAGAAATCCCCCTTTAGTTCAGAGTAATGATTGCATCGTTATTGATTTTGTATACAAGTCTTGGGCTATTTTTAGTGCTGGTTTCGCTTTAGATATGATTGATTTACCTGGGCTTATATTTCTTGCTCCCTTTCAGTTTATGTGAGTCAAATTTATATTTCAGTGCGTAATGGATTTTATAGAGTTACATATTTGTGTGGTTAGTTTCTCCAGATCCAGAATGTTTTACAGAATGTTGGGGAAGAAGGTCAAGATGAACTTGTCAAGCTGAGGAATGATCTTGTAGAACTTATTCAAGTATCAGAAGGTCAGACATGTTGCCTCCCTCTTTCTTGTAGACGAATTTTAATTTGGTATTTTTTGTACAATAATAATGTTATTGTGAAAAAGAACAGTCTTCAAGACCTTCTCTATTTAGATTCAGACAATTTCATCTTAGACCAGCACTTCTACAAATAGTAGAAATGGTAAGTGTCATTAACAGTCAGGCATCAATCTAGTTGTTATCATGACAACTTTCTTCAGCAATCCTAGCATGATAATAAGAGTAATATTGTAGTAATGATAGCAGTTGGTATCACAGCACAAATGCATCAAAACTATGTTAGAAAGTGTAATTTTCAAATATTCATATAATTGTCTTTAATGCTTTTTTTGTTCTGTTTTGTTTGTTTATTTTTTTCATAGAGAGCCTTCTATCTCTCAAGAAAAGCAGATTACTTCGGTTACTTGACAGTGAGGAAAATGAGCTCAGAGGGGATCCTCCTGAACCTTTTTGTGATAGGCCTGGCTTAAATGATTGTGAAAATGATGCAGTAAGTAATGTGAGGTGCTGATGTATTTCTAAAGTAGGACTGACAACCTCTAAACAATGTCTTGGGTTAAAACAAAAACCCTTTATTGTAGTTATACTCAGTATAATTTTGATGTTGTTGAGATGACTATAATTACTAACTTCTGAAACAGGAAGTTTGTTTATTTTCACTTATGCAGTTTCAATTAACGTGTTAAGAATGTAATTGTTTTGCTAATTCTCTTCATGTTTATGTGAATATGTTAACATGATGATGATGGAAAGGAACTTACAAAAGGTGAAGATTCAGTTGAGATAGAAGATGACATCACAGGAATGAAGTGCCGCATTTCATACACACAGGTTTGACTTTGTTATAAAACACCTAGTTGGAGCTTATACCAGTTTCCTTAGCATGGAGCAACTAGAAGTATCACTACTCATCCCTGGATGGGATGCTAATCTATCACAAGGTTATCTCCCTGCCAGCATTTTATCAGACTTCTCCAAGAGTTGGCCTGGACCTCTTTGTTCTGTTGGATGGTAGAGGGGCATCGTGAGAGTAAAGCTTTTTGCCCAAGAACACAGCAAATTGATGCAACCAGGTCTCAAATGTGGACCACTTCCCCCTGGAGTCCAATGCACCAACCAAGAAGCCCCAGGGACTCTTACATTAATTTTATTGCTTTTTTGATGTCTAAGTCTAATATCTTTTTTTATGGGCCTGGAAATTTTTTACTGTTAGAAATAAATATTTTAGTAATAAATAGTTAGTAATAAATATTTTATTGAAAAAAACAAATTTTTAGAAAGCAATCCTTGAACAGATTCCTCTTTCTTCTTTTTGAAAAGGACTGGGGAGTAATGGAGCACCACAATGCCATGGTTTTTGATGCAGAAACAGTTGCTTTGCCTGATGGGAGAGAAGAAACCAAGGTATAAACTCATTACAAATAGCCAAATTTGCACATTTCTTGCCTGAAAATACACTGACTCAAGGTCTTTTCTTCCCCATGTAAGCAGAGATAGACACTAGAATCTGTCAATACATCTCATGACATACTTTGTGTCATCCATTAAATGGGTTAAATCTCACAAGGGAGTTTTAGGAGTACAGAGTTATTGCCTATAAAAAGTAAACAGTGTAAAGTTAGGTGTCAAGTTTTTTAGTTGATCTGTATCATCATTGTCTTCTCTTACATGTGAAGTTATTGTGTATAACTGGAAAAATCCTTTAGAATAGCAAGTGAAGTTCAGTGGCTATTGTTTCTTGTATTTGTAATTTTTACAGGTGAGAGTGTTATTTATGAACCCTACCCATAAATCCATGGTACCCTGCCCTTATTTCCTGGATAGCAAATGCAGATTTGATGATGACACTTGCAGGTAAATTTTTCTTTCAGTCAAATAATAACTAAAGATCTTTTTGTTTTTAAGCTTGCATGATCTTCTAACCTACATGTAACCTTAAAATAGTTCTTTTTTATTTAAAAAATGATTGATTGATAAATATTCTTTTATTAATCACTGACATTTAATTTCAATTTGCCTTTATTTTTTTTTGATTTACTGCATTTTAGATATTCTCATGGTTATGTGGTCTCTGTGGATGATTTGATGTCATTCAAAGAGCCAGACTTCAGGTAGTTCTTCTGTGTGATTACTTATTTCTGTTGATAGTCAGGGCTCAACGCTAACTTTTAACTTACTAGTCAAAGAGGTCGGTGGAAACCGAAAACCACTTGCCAAACTGAATTACTACTAGTCTGTGGCTAGTGGGCTACCATTAGTGTCAAGCCCTGATAGTTTATATCTGGTTGAATCGGACATTGCCATTCAAAACCTGTCGTTTACAGACACTCTTAGCTTTCAACTGGAAAGAGGATTTGCTAAAGGTAAGACCCCTAGAAAAACATGAGGCAACACCACCCCCCACCCCACCCCCCTGGTCACTTTTTCCTCTCACTGTTTCTTCTTTTGTTACATTCCATCTACATTTCCATAGCCAGGTACAGTGTGGTCAGCAGTGTTTAGCAAGATATGACGATGGAGTGTGGTACAAGGCCACCATTCAGTAAGTTCTAAACAGGGAAATAGTATTTATTTAATAATAATGATAAGAGTGATTCTGATGATAATACTGAATGTGAATACAAATTAACTACATTTAACATTTATACTTGTCTAATAGATATGTTTACATTGAATGATTATTGGAAAATAATGTTAAACTTAACTAATATTATTAGTGATGAATTAATGATTACAAGGGTCTTTTCCTATACCAACAATATTTGGAAACCAAATGCATAAGTTAAAAATGAGTTTTTCTATTTACTCATCTGATTATGTAGAACCATATGATCACTGACCAAATTTGACTCTCTCAAACCAACTACCATCATGATGAAAATGATAGAAATAATGATAACAATAATGATGATGATAATGTAAACCATGTCTATAATTGGAAAGAGTATTAATAATAGTAACTATATACTTCAACAACAGAGTCAAACCAACTACCATCATGATGAAAATGATAGAAATAATGATAACAATAATGATGATGATGATGATGTAAACCATGTCTATAATTGGAAAGAGTATTAATAATAGTAACTATATACTTCAACAACAGTTTTCTATTTAGGGGGATATATGCATAGATATTGTCCAGAAATATTATCTGTTCTAAGATGCAAACAGTTTCCAAAGAGTGAAGCTCAAGGAAACCTGTGAGCTTTGAGGAACAAATGATATGCAAGGACAATTACACAAACATATTTTCATGTGAAATTGTCAATTTTTGCTGTTGTGTTTATTACCCTTCAAATATTTTGCAATGTGACTATGAACAAACAAATATATTTCCCTTCTTCTGTCACAAAAGGCTCTCTAATCTTGAATTAAATTTTAAAAGAAGACTTACTGTGGCAGAAGTAAGGTTTGAAAATTGGGGAATATCACTTGAATGGGCAACATCCTCAGATATCCTCTAGTTTTAACTGGGGAATATCATGATTCATTTAGACCAATCACACCAAACAAAAGTGTTTGATGGATCGTAACGATTAATACCTGCACCACAGCTCACACTGAGCCAGGTTTACTATGCTCTGCTCAAAACAAAGCAAACATCTACCAGCCCAGATAATATGTCATTCTGGGTCTGGAAGGAGAATGTTGCCTTATTGGCACCAGTATTGCAAGCAATCTGGAACCTATCATTGTCAACTCAAAGGTAGCCCAGTGCATGGAAGCAAGCTAATGTCTATCCACTACCCAAAGTAGATATTCCAGTCCAGCCCCAGGACTTTAGGGGAATCAGTGTTACACCGGTAATTGTTAGGGCTTTTGAACAAGTTGTGTATAATACCTTTGGTAAAGAAAATGTGGAGAGTTACTAATAATAACCAGTTTGTGTACAGAACAGGAGGCAGTTGTATAAACGCCCTTCTTGAAATACAGCATAAATTTCTCCAAGCTTTAGATAGTAACAATAACCGGGCGGTCAGGCTGTTTACAATGGATTTTTCAAAAGCCTTGGACAGAGTCAAGCACAACTTATTAATAGAGAAATTAATACAGAGCCCTTTAGACCCATACATTGTGAACAGGTATGCCAGCTTCTTGTCTAACAAAAAACAGAGTGGTCTGTCATAATACTGTTTGTGATTGGAAGGATTTCAACTGTGGTACTACCCAGGGAAGCGTCAGCAGCCCGCATTTGTTTAATCTGTTCTTAAACGATCTTGACGTCACTCAGTACTGTCAGGATAGCGATCTTATTAAGTATGCAGATGACACTTCTATTCTTGTGACTGTGCATAAGAATAGTGTAGATGAATCACAAAAGGAACTGAATGCATTTTTGGAGTGGATGGTGGTTAATGGTATGAGCTGTAACACAAGCAAATGTAAAAAACTCTGTATGACTAAAAAAGGTGTTATACCTAAATTCCCACCTCTATGTGGCATAGAACAGCATGACAGTTTCACTCTATTAGGTGTCACATTACAAAACGACTGTAAGTTTTCATCTCATGTTAAGGGAAAGCTTTGGGAAGCTAACAAGTGTTTGTACATTTTAAGATCACTAAGAAAAGAAGGATACACACACTCAGGTAGAGATAGATCATCTCTTTAAGGCTATTGTTTTGCCAAAGATCACTTATGCACTTCCAGTATATGGAGCCAGCCAGGCAGATGTAAACACCATACAAAGCTTCTTAAAAGGTGCAATAAATGACGTTACACTTCTGAGTTAATTAATATCTACGACCTTTTAGAGAAATGTGATGACAGGTTGTTCACCAAAATTAAGAACACTGTTAACCATCCATTATATGCCCTTCTGCCCAAAGTCAAAGAGTCATCCAAGAAGTTAAGATCACAAACAAGCCAATTACCACGGATAAATACAGAACGTTTTAAGAATTGCTATTTTAATAGAACAAAGTTTAAATACAACTTGGCTAAGTAACATTATATATCTTAAGTTTGATTTTATATAATTATTGTAAATGATTTAGATACCTTTATTCTCTGTAACGTTTGTTATGTATTTTAACGAGCGAAATAAAAACATCTCAATTCAATTAATTACCCTCCCATCCTGTGCATTGTACTTTACTTTCTCTATATTTTAAGTTGTTTATTACAATTTTTACATTTTTTTTTCAGATCAATAGATCAAGAGGCTCATACATTTGTTGTTCATTATGATACATACAACTCAGGTGCTACACTCGGCATAACTGAGGTTCTTCCTTTAGGTGAGTGGAAGACAGCCATAGCAAGGAAAACACTGCTTACAACATTAATTGGGAAACCCAGAAGAATTATACTTTGATTTATAATTGAACTATTTACTATTTTCCTCCTGGCTGATGAGGTGCCAGGATATTTACTTGCTAATGAAATCTTGTTTGCTTCTGATTGCAGAAATAACATGAAAATTTCTAATCGCCAAGTCTATTCAACATGAAGTACTTTCAGAAAAATAGTTTCTTTTGCTTTGCATGTTACAAAACCTGTGGAATACCTTACATTCTTTAGAGAACTTCTTCCATGCCAGTACTGTTTCCAAGAGACACGATAGTGAATCTTTTCCTCTGAATAAAGGGTGTTGCAGAATTTGTATCTTATGTTAAATTTGTGGAACTTTGTGTTGTGTTGTGAGTCTCAAAGGTAATAGGTGACTTCATCATTTGTACATCACAGACCAAAGCAATGCTGAGAATGTGTCAGACAGTGATCTTTCAAGTTTGTCTAGTGACAATGAGGAGGTTGATGAAGATCAGGTTGCTGTGGTGCAGTTGGCTTGCAAACTGTCAGGGGGTCCTGTTTGTCTTGGAGAGTGGGAACAACACACAAAAGTAAGCCTGGTTTTCTTTTATTATTTCTGGCTTAAAGCAGTAGGCATGAGGGCAAGGCTCCAACATATTAAAACTGTAAAATAAATAGCAATTCTTTAAGTTTACTGGAATGAGAGGGGCCTCCAAGTGAAGTACTGGTAATTTGTTTTAGATTGAAATGTAGCAAGCCTTATTTCATACTAGATATCTGAAATCACAACCAGCCAGTAGCTGGTGACCTTAGAAATGATGAAAGATGATGCAGTTTACAATCCTAACATTAACTAAACCAGGACGTTTATTATGATTTTTACTGTGGGAAAACTCCTAGTGTTGCTTTTTTAATGCAGGATGTAAAAGATTTATTGCAAGGTTAAGTTAATATGCCTCTGGTCACAGCTACATTCTTTTTGTTTTCAGGGCATTGGTTCAAAGCTTATGGCCCAAATGGGTTATGTTTTTGGGTATGTTAATTCTGTGATTTAGTTTAATCCTTGCTTGAAATTATGTTCTTTTAGTCTCAAACCTGCGTTGCGTTTAAGAGACATTCAAAACTTCCTTGGGTTCACTAACTTAATAACCCACTTGTGATATTGAAAGAACACTCAAATAGTAGGTAATTTGCCTGCCATTGGCATCGGTGACTTACAAACTTTTCTTATACTCTCCCAATATCCCCCATCACAGTTTTCTCATGGTCCTCCAATATCTCATCATGTCTGTTAACTGATCAAAAATGTAGTCTTACTGAAGTATATATATCTTATTAACCAAGCGCGAGGGCTGTACTGGGAGAATATTGGCCTGAGGTCTTGACAGTATGGACCTCGCTG